GATGAACACTTTTGAGAATTGGTTTTTATTTGTATAGAAAAAAAAACTTTTAGTGCATAAAAATATTTTATTTGAAATATTATCCATTATTAGCAATACATTTTTCTCATCTCTCTGGGAATTAATAAATACCATTCCAGAAAAACTGTTGTTCTTTTGTGACCGATCAATCATCTAGCCATTTTTGTACACTCATTAGAAGTGAAGTGCTGCTGTGCAAGTGCGTGCCCATTGATACAAATAATAGTTGTCTGAAAGATCCAAGTATGGTGAGTAAGCTACATGTGCTAATATTTCCCTACTGAACACATCAATCGTTTCCTTCCCTGGTTTCGCTGTATTTATTAACATAAAGTTGGTTCGTTATCATGTAGCAAAATCACTTGTATTGTATTTTTTTATATTTTCGCTATTTTTCACACAATACTCAATTCAAATTGATCATTTGTTGTCGATAGTGTTCTGTATAAACGGTTTTAGCAGCTCATAATAGATCACACTCATGTTCCATGTTCTTTATTTCTCGCATCGAAATTGCCACTTTATAATTTTTTAATCCATTTAGCACTTTCATGTACCAAGATGCTTATCATAAGCTTCTATAAGCATCCAGTGCGATTCTGAAGCAATTTACTTTAAATAGTAACAGAAAATTAATGCTGTCCACAAATTATATAGAACTTGTATTGTTATGAATTGAAAATTTTTGCCAGCTGTTAAATGTTAATACACTTAATCTATATATATATATATATATATATATATATATATATATATATATATATATATATATATATATAAATGAATGTATGTCTGTCTGTTGTAGGCATACTAGACATATCCAATACTAAAACGATGCAGTTATATAGAACTTGTAATGTTATGAATTGAAAATTTTTTCCAGCTGTTAAATGTTAATACACTTAATCTATATATATAAAAATGAATGTATGTCTGTCTGTTTGTTCTTTGTGCATTACTAAACCATTCATCCGATCGCCATGAAACTTTGGGAAGTTGTTCCGTACGCTCCTGGGAAGGTTTCTGGCATAGTACTTCTGTCTTACGATAATTTTATATATGTAAAAAAAAAAAAATGTAAATGTTTTTCTGTTCAAAGCGGCAAAAAAATGTGTCGCTATGAACTGTAGCACCAAAACGGCTTTACTGATTTAACGAAACTTGGCTAAATTCTTCCCCTTGAAACCCTTTTAATTTATGTGTTTAACATACTTTCCCGAAAACAAGCTGAAAAATGTTACGATGAATTCAATATTTTATTTGACAGTAACTAAAAAAGTACATAATTTTTGACTGATAATACCCACATTTATTTGAAAGATTCCTGATTTGCCAACAAAATAAAAAAGAAATCATCGAAATCGGACGGTTCGTTGCAGAGTTATAGAGTTTTAAACATTTACTGCTTTCTCTTCAGAAAAGGCCATTTCCTTTTGCTTCCTCACTACCGAAGGTAAAATTTTATAATTACTACAGTAATTGAAATTATCATTTGAAGAAGTTATATGATTCTCCTTATGTAGGTCAATACTATTATAAATTCTTTATATTAATTTTTTATTTTAGTTTTTTAAGTTCAACTCAGACTGTTTCTAATGATTATGAATGACGGCGTATTCACTCAGATGATTATGAATGTTCAATTTAAATCATGAGAAAAAAAAATCATTAGAATTAGTTTAAATTAAAGCAATTTTACAGACAAATTTGTTTCCCAACTTTTTAAAAATGACAGATATCCTTTGCTATTAATCTACTCATATGTGCTTTCTATTTTCTTTCTTTTTCATTTCGCCAGGCTAAGGCACAGCAGCGCTTGGCCGGGTAAAGCTAGTAATATATAATGTTAACTATATTAATAACTTGATTGGATAATTCCGGTTTCATGTTTGTACACCTGGTAGATTTATATAAAAAATAATTAAATTAGGAGTTCTATAAAATATAATTTTATAATTAAATATTATAGCTACAACTCAGGTAGTTACAGTTATTTAAAAAAATAAATCATTTAACAAACTAATCACAGAAGGGGAAGAGAAAATGGGATAATTAATTTGGATGTAAAGAACATTACCACACACTGATTTAAAAAAAAATGCATAGATATTTAATAAAATAAATATATATTTTTTAAAAGTAAGAACAGTACAGTCTCAGTAAATCTAAACTTTTTTAAAAAACAATGTTAGAACCATAAAAAATAAACTTTATTCATTTAATATATTATTTTATCATTCATTACATTTTATATATTTAAACGTTTCAATAGTCTTGATATTCTTCAGTCTTAAATTTAAAATTTCCCTGATAATTATAAACAGCACCAATATTAAATACAATTAACCCTCATAAATAAACCCCACAGTATATTTAGTTCAACTTCAAATATTTTTTTTAAAATTAGTTTATGGATTTTTTAAATTAAAATATAAAATCTGTAAATAATCTAAACTAACCATAATAAATGCATGGAATATTGAGATCCATAAAATTACATCCAAGACAATTAACATGTAATAAAAAATTAAGATTTTAAAAAAGTAAATAGTAACAAATTTTATAAATTCCAAATATTTCTAAATGTCTACAAATTCCCCACTGTGAAAAATAAATACCCAAATAATAATTAATGTTGTTTACTCAATAGTAAATTACTCAGTAACATTTTTTTTTTTTTATTAACCCTTAAAACTAAATACTTTAAAACAATACTATACAATTAACTAAATATTAAAAGGTATAAAATTGAAGGAGACCAAAACACATTTTGACATAGTACAACATTACATTTAACATATTTAAAGTAAACTTTTGGTTTGAACGTTATATAAATCTGATCTCCAATGATTTAAAATGAAATATCCATTAATATACATGTGCCTTTAATAAGAGCAAGAAATTATCTACATATATATATTAATAATTTTTGTGTCTTGAGAATTATTATTATTTTCTGATCAAATAATTAGAGAAAAACAAAATAACCATTTAATTATAATAACTACTGTCATCACCACATATGCCGATGACACATGTATCCTATCAGTAAATAACGACCCATCTATTGCATCCCAAATGCTTCAATCACACATCATAAATCTTGAAGAATGGTGTAAAAACTGGAGAATTAAAATAAACTCCAATAAATCCCACCAAATTACCTTTACCCTTCGTCGTAAACCAACGACTTCCTGTCCTACAGTTTCCTTTAACAATACTCCACTTATCCCTGTTGAGCAAATCCGATACTTAGGACTCCACCTGGACAAACGACTAACTTGGAATCCTCAAACTAGACTGAAACGACAAGAAACCGCTCGACGTTTTCGATTACTTCAGCACTTACTAGACAAATGCTCTAAACTTCCAATTAATTACAAAAGACTCACATACTTGACTATAATAAGGCCTATTTGGACTTACAGAGTTGAGCTATGGGGCTCCACTAAACCATCGAATTCCTCTCGTATCCAAGCCTTACAATCCAAAATCCTTCGTAAAATCCTCAATGCTCCCTACTATGTTACAAATAAAACCATCCATAATGACCTTAATGTTTCAGATCTGGTCCAATCCAGATACCTATCCTTCCATAATAAACTTCAGAATCTTCCCAACCCTCTCGTTTCTAACCTTGCTTCCTCTTCAATTCCTGATAACTCTCCGAGGCGTCTGAAAAGAAGATGGCCCTGTGATCTCCTAATGTAGTCATATCATTAGAGTGCTACCATTGGGTAGTTACTCAGCAAGTGTTTTCATGGCATTATATCCATTATGTTCAAATTTACTAGATGTATTTATTTAATACAGTTGTAAATGTCATTAAGAAATAAAAAAAATTATAATAACTAATTCATTTTCAACAAATACTACACTCTGGAGGAAAAATCAAATAGAGATTTCAGATTTTTGAAGAATTTGTCTAGGGGTGCGGTCAATAGACACACAATATATTGTAGTAACTTTTATTTCATTTGCCTATGTTACAACATACATAGTAGGTCTTTATTGGGGCTAAAAGAAAAATATATAAAAACATCATTGTTAATTGGTATAAGGTACAAATAAATAAAATATCAGTTAATGTTTAATTTGATTTTACACATCTTTACAATTTTCTCAAAAACAGCTCTAACGATTTCAATGAAACCGATCATAACATTGTGTAATTAAATGGTCCCTAATATCAGCTAGGTCTTATCCTCATTGATGTCGCTTAAAATGGCTTATATGCCCAATATTGACAATTTCTCCCTCTAAAGTACCTTTAATTTGGTTTATTTTAAATAATAAACTATCTCTCATTATTAGCAGTAATAATTCTGTACACAGAAGAGCAGTAAGTGAAAGTTGTGTGATGCGCACCAAGATTTTTTTAATAGCGGTAAATGGGAGGAACTATTAAGATACTTAAGAGTGTTATGTGATACAAGTGTTGAAAAAAAAGACAAACATACCAATGAAATAAAATTATATGCAAATAAAATAAACACAACTATTATAAAATGTATAGCATATGACTATTGACTGCACCCCTGACCAACTTCTTAATTTAGAACTACACTAAACTACTTCTATACTATGAAGATCTCAGATTTGTTAACATATCAATGAAATATTATGAAAACCCTAAGGAATTTTAGTTATTTATCTTTTTTTACCCAAAGTATATGACAAAAAAAAAAATAGTATAACCAAATAATTTAAGGAAGAACCTAGTAGACAAAACTTAGAGGTTATGCTCAAGGAAGAGGAAGTCGCATATACCATCTTGATTTGTTTGTTTTTAGCATTTTCATTTGTTTTACAATGTTTCAATCGAGTGCATTAATCCATAAGTTGATTGATATTTCAATAATTAAAAGCTATTCCTAGGCACATGTACATTAAATGGTCCTCTAAGTTGTTTACATATAGTATACGTTGCTTCCTTAAAAACTAATAAAATTTAAAAATACATAGACCATTCGCTAACATTATGAGTGCTTGAAGTTTTGTAAAGGATAATGTTCTTTGTATTTTTCTAGATGACTAGCAAGATACTCTCTCTGTTTTCTGTGGACAAAATAAAATAATAGCATTATATAATTCATATTTTTAAAAGAATACCAACAAAAACAAAAAAATACCACTATAACCCATGGTTCAGTACTTTGTAAGGAAGCACTGTTTAACTGTTAGATCAATGGTTGTCTATAGAGGTGAATAGACCAAGACCATGCTCAACCGCCAAGTTTGTCCATTTAATTAATTATTTAATGAAGGATGCCCATTATACCCCCTTCACATCTGATTTCACAGAATTAATAATAATTACCTGCCACAGTCACACTGGAATCCGGGATCTTGAGCAATGGAAGTTAGCACCTTACTCACTAAGCTACCGCACTTAGAATTTCAATTTTTTTTTTTTATGCTAAAATGTTAGAACTTGAAAACTTGTTAACATGATTTTAATATTAGAAGAAAATAAATACCTATTCTCATTCTTTCTTCATTTAAAGCAGAAAAATGAGATTTGACTATTCATAAAGCAGAATATAACAAAATCAGTATGTTATTTGATTTTATTTTCATCTCAAAATCAAAAAAAACTCTTCTGATAGCATTCCAACACAAAGTATGAATGAGAAATGCTTTATTAAATATGTATAAATTATAAATTTCCAAAAATACAAAGAACATTTATACGGCATGATTACTTGTCTCCCGGTAACACACAAGCCACTAACACAAAGTAATAAACAAAGATATATAATTACTAGAAGGGTACCCCCTGTCTACCTAATGGCGAACGTACCCTCATTTTACAAATTATACAACTATTCATTAATTTTTAGAGATTGTTTCTCAAAATGTATAACTTAAATGTACGTGTTATTTTTTTTTAGTTTGTATTATTTTTTATCAACATAAAATAAACTGAACGAAACCACAGTTCGGACAAAGTATTAATTCCTTAGAGCCAATTTATATTAATATAATTATTTTTATTGCCAATTTGTAACCATGATAAATATTAAACTTGTCCAAATTCATATAAGCCCAAGAATAATTTGAGCTTTTTATTTCTAATATTCTCACTATGCGTTATATTGTGCTTCCTTTTCTATTTCATAATAATTATAATTAAATCACAATCTGATACATATAATATAATAATTAATACAATGAATTCGAGGGGAAACGATCTCGATCGAAAAATAACTCTTGTCACCCAGGAAAAATCAAACTATCATTCCCAGATGAATACCATATCTCATACAAATTTTTAGTCTAAAATCTTTATTTTGTATTAGGAGTGAGGTTATATATAGGAGCTCAACATATATGTAATTATATGAACAGCTGTATAATTTGTAAAATAATCGCTATAGAGAGCAACACTACCGAGCCTACAGGACTGGGCTGCTGTTGAGCTCCTGCTATATCCTATCCTCCTAATACTCAAATAAAATATGAATGTCACTAAAAGCTTTTATGTAATAGAGAGATACAAAATAACAGTTCAACTTACATGAGGTTATTAGGCATTGACCAGTTGACATCTGTAAACATTTCTCTCCAATCAGGTTTGTTTACTTTCTCAGCTTCCCCAAATGCTTTTAGAACCTGTAAAAATATATTACTATTATTCAGTAAAAATCAATAATGCAGGAAATAAAAGGAATATTGCACAGCGATATCTTGTTATTTGAAGGTAAGAATTTTCGGTTAATTATCGCTTTCGGTACTAATCTATATCTTAGGTCATTATGAAACATTGGAGTCTTCTAAATAATTAAAATGAATGAGCTCCAATAATTTTCCTAGTTGGCAGAACACAATCAGATTATTCAGCCATTCATGGTTTCAGTGGACGATCGGTCTTAAACTAGTATAACTCTGAAAGCTGTGAATTTGTTAAAGCTATTTTGGAGACCAGATATTTAATTAACTCTATCTACTTTTGAGAATATATTTTCTATCTATCCTAGCTTTGCTAAACGAGTATAGTCATGTAATTTTATATTTTTATATAATATATAGTCATGTATTTTTTCATCTTGATTCATCTGATCGGGGCCCCAAGATACTCCCATGTTTCTCACCACTACGCTGAGTTAAAGTGGTTTTTCCCCTCCTTCCGAAGACAATATTTCCTAGGTACGTTCCTCTACCAAATCATCAACAGCCATCGTCCTTCTTACGCCTACAACTTTCTCCAGTTCAAATCCTCAGTCCATTCCCTGTCCACAAGATCTCGACCTTCTAACCTTTACATGCCTTCTCACAGATCTGCCTCATTCCAAAATTCCTTTATTGTTCGCTCTGTCAATTTCTGGAATTCCCTCCCTATCAAAATTCGACATTCCCCATCCATATCCAAATTCAAAACCCTCCTATTCCAATTCCTATCCCAAGAACAGTCAGATAGTTGCTAACCATTCGAGCTGATTTTAATAGAGAATTTGATACATTTTTATTTTTTAATTCTTTATTATTTTCTCAAAAGTGTATACGAGTCTATCAGTGCAAATAGCTTTAAGTGTCTTGTCATAGTATTAATTGTTTTGTATATAGTTTCGTTTTTTTGTATATAGAATGTTTACCTTATATTTTTTTTACATTATTTCTTTTTTTCGATTGATTTTATTTTGGCCAGATGTGATCTTTTAATTTTGTTCTATTTTGTTATTCTCAAGGACTGTGTCCCAGAATAAAATTATTTTTCTATCTATCTCTTCATCTCCTTATATTGAGCCTATTTAAACTTCAAAGCTTACTTCTTCCTCTTTCATTTGCTTCCTGAGATATACAGCCTAGTTATGATCTTATATATGTAAGATGAAACCTATACATCAATATATTCATTTTTTTTTTTATTTCTTAATGACATTTACAACTGTATTAAATAAATACATCTAGTAAATTTGAACATAATCGATATAATGACATGAAAACACTTGCTGACTAACTACCCAATGGTAGCACTCTAATGATATGTTTACATTAGGAGATCACGGGCCATCTTCTTTTCAGACGCCTCGGAGGGTTATCAGGAATTGAAGAGGAAGCAAGGTTAGAAACGAGAGGGTTGGGATGATTCTGAAGTTTATTATGGAAGGGTAGGTATCTGGATTAGGCCAGATCTGAAACATAAGGAACATTAAAGTCTTTATGGATGATTTTATTAGTGACAAAGTAAGGAGCATTTAGGATTTTACGAAGGATTTTGGATTGTAAGGATTGGATACGAGAGGAATTCGATGGTTTAGTGGAGCCCCATAGCTCAACTCCGTAAGTCCAAATAGGCCTTACTATAGTCAAGTATATGAGTCTTTTGTAATTAATTGGAAGTTTAGAGCGTTTGTCTACTAAGTGCTGAAGTAATCGGAAACGTCGAGCAGTTTCTTGTCGTTTCAGTCTAGTATGAGGATTCCAAGTCGTTTGTCCGGGTGGAGTCCTAGGTATTGGATTTGCTCAACAGAGAATATTCATATTTAAATTGATAAAAGAAAACAAATCTACCATATGTGAAAGACATTTCTACAAATTAATTATATTAGCACTATGAATAAGTTCTCACTGTTTCTTAACAGATGGCAGCACCAGTACTATCAGTGGTTCATTTCAGATAGTAATGCAATCATTTTCGTAGAACTACTGTTGGCTAGCTTAGACATCAGGATATGTAAGTTCACCACAGTATAAATGACATTCTTTTTTATAGTTCTAAAAATGATGTGTTCTATGCTAAGTAAAGAGTATTTGTGAAGAATTGCAAAGTAAGCTCTGGTGCACCAAAAAGCTGAAGAATTAGAAAAATCACTTCATGAAAGCCCATGTCAGACACTAGCTGAACTTTCAAAATAATTACTAGTTGATGACACAACGGTTTCTAAAAACATTTTCTCACAAGCTAACTGATTCACTGGAAGAAAAGGAAAAGTTTTTGGCATCGTATTATGATTGACAATGAAAAATGGATACAGCACGATAACGCTAAGCTTAAAAAATTGTGGGGTATGCCTGACCATGCTTCGAAGCTTCTCATCTGCATTTGGTTGGATCAGAACAGAATAATTTATTATGAACGGCTCAAACTGAACATAAATATCATGGGAGATCACTACAGACTACAATTGATACATTTGAGCAAAACATTAAAGGAAAAACTGCCGCTATATGACAAGGTGATTTTGTGACATTTGGTCATGTGTTGCAAAAACTACCAGGAAATGCTAAAAGCCCATATATATGGCCTATTTGGACTTACGGAGTTGAGCTATGGGGCTCCACTAAACCATCGAATTCCTCTTGTATCCAATCCTTACAATCCAAAATCCTTCGTAAAATCCTCGATGCTCCTTACTTTGTCACTAATAAAATCATCCATAAAGACTTTAATGTTCCTTATGTTTCAGATCTGGCCTAATCCAGATACCTATCCTTCCATAAGAAACTTCAGAATCATCCCAACCCTCTCGTTTCTAACCTTGCTTCCTCTTCAATTCCTGATAACCCTCTGAGGCGTCTGAAAAGAAGATGGCCCCGTGATCTCCTAATGTAGTCATATCATTAGAGTGCTACCATTGGGTAGTTAGTCAGCAAGTGTTTTCATGTCATTATATCCATTATGTTCAAATTTACTAGATGTATTTATTTAATACAGTTGTAAATGTCATTAAGAAATAAAAAAATAAAAAATATGAATATATTGATGTATAGGTTTCCTCTTAGAACCCGCCATATTTACAGAATATTTCCCCTTCCGATTATCAGTTATTTCGCTCTATGGCAAATGGCCTGGCTGAGCAGCACTTCCATTTTTATGAGGATACCTAAAAATGGGTAGATTCTTGGATAGCCATAAACGATGAGTTGTTTTCCCGATGTGGAATTCATATGCTGCCAAAAAGACGGGAGGAATCAGTCACTAGTGAAGGGCAATACTTTGAATGACATGGTTTTTACTACTTACTTTAAAGAAAGCATTAATTTTAACAAAAAATAGTGACAACTCATTTTCGGTCTCAATAATTCTATATAATATGAATGTATTACATTATTTTTTGATTCTTCAACACATTGCTTTTCCTGATCCTCATTCCAAAGATTCTTCGATTCTAAATACTTTCTAAACCTCAGCATTGGGCTAAACTTTTGCCAGTTTTCAACTTCTTCAACGCTCCTATAGGCCGAACTGTCATCCGAAGTACTATGATGTCCCATCCTGAAAATAGATATTAACTATCAATTCAATAATCACGTTTTACTATTTAAATAGATTTTTATTTGATAAATAGATACCTGTAAGTCATCGCTTCGATTAAGATGGGACATTCTTTGGAAATGGAAATCTCCCTCGCTAGTTTCATAGCATCATAAACAGCCAAAGTATCATTGCCATCAACTCTGATAACAGATATTCCGTACCCTAAAGCACGTCCAGCTATTGCATCTCCACGGTACTGTTCCTCAGATGGTGTTGAAATCGCATAACCGTTGTTTCGACTTAAAAAAAAAAATAATTAACTATTTAAAAAATTAAATTTATTAAGTTTATTTAACAAAATTCTTACAACAATTAAATAATTGTATAATATAGCTAAAAGGGCTATATGGTGAACATTACATTGTTAGAGTCATTCAACTCTACAGATTGCGATGGTTGAGGCATGTGAAAAGGATGGACCCTACAAGAATACCGAGAAAACTTCTTTATGGAAAGCTGGGAGATGAAAGAAGACGAAGTGGAAGATAATCTGAAGGAGATGGGTGTAAATCGGTGAAGAGGCTTCGATACTGACAGGGATAGCAGAGGCCATGGTTCTGCAAGAATTGTAGAGCCCCGCAATAAATGAATGGAAGCTACTCAAGAATGAATAAAGTTTTAATTAAAATTAAATTTGTTTGTTTCGTAAGGAATTTATAAATCTTTCAAATTACAAAGGCTATATTCAACCATAAATTGTTTATTTTTTTGAGTTATGTGCATATAGTTTTATTTTTAATTTCTACTTATTTATATACTGGATATATATTATAGGATTTGATGAAGTATTAAGGAAGATATGGTGTATAGACAAAAAAAATGTATAAAGATTTTATAAACATTAAGAAATAATAGTACAAAACAAATATATATATTTCACATATATCTATATTTATTTATGAATAACTATTAAAGATATTTTAAACACAAGAAAAGTTGAGTCTTTGGAGAGTTCTCACTAAAAACATTAGTATTAAAGGTTAAATAATTTTTAAATTAAAATTCAATCATCATCACAGTACTCACTAAAATCATTTTATCTCAAAAATCTGTTAGTAGGTATTTAAATATTTTATGAATAAACGGCTCAACCAATTTTTAAATTTGATGGCTCATATTATTCATTGAGATCATCTGAATTTTTAAAACAATCAGAGCTCAAATAATGAAAGTTTATTGTATTTATTGTAGTGTCTAGTCTGACCATTTGAAGGTATGTAACGATATTTTAAGCAAATAGCTTCTTGCATCATCGCATGAAGACATAGAAAAAATAAATTAATTAATTTTCAAAAGAGTTTTTAAGTTTTGTTCGAATGTGGAAGAGACCCGACTACTAATATTTGAATCGTTTACAATACAGTAACCAGCGTCTGTTAAATGTTATTGATAAAACGATCTGATAATATTTTGAAAAATAGAACAAATGATAACTTTGTATAGTTATAAAATTTATAATTCTATTACCAAAATAATATGAGAGGAACTTCCAAAGTTGCTGCGAAATTAAAAGCAGCATGAGCATCACCTTCAGAGGCAGCACCTTCTCCAAAGTAAACTACACAACACTTGTTACTCTTATTTCGTTTAAAAGCATACGCTGAACCAACAGCTGCAACAAAAGTGGTAATTTATAAATATTTTAATATAATCAAATAATATTTTTCATTATGCAAGTTTGACCTTTATTCTTTTCACACTGATACATTTATCTAATGGTCAGAATAAGTTAATCAAACGAGTCTTTGATTGCAATTGTATTATTTTAGATTGCTGAAGAGAGGGGTAAATATTCCCTGAAACATTCAATAAATTTCTATCAGAGACTCATTTGATTAATTTATTCTGATCTTTAGGCAAATGTATCAATCTAAATAATGCTTGTTAAAAAAATAAAATATTAATAGATTATATCATGTAGAAAGTTGATCGAAGCATTTACTCAACAGAGTGAATAAGTCAAATCTTAACTTTTCAGGTGATCAATTTGAATGCTATTCTAAGAAAATGTGATGTAAGTCCTTTTCTCAATTTTTCAGAGAGAAAGCTTTTAAGAAATTATTTTCTGAAAATTAATTAAATTTTTTAAAATTTAAACGCCTGTCTATAAATATGAAAAATATAATAATTTTACATTTTGTCTGAATTCACTAAAAATAAAATTAACACAAAAATCTGTTTTTTGTTTATAATTAATTTTCTTTAGGAAGTATCACTATAAAAGAGAACAAAGAGATGGTTAAGAGAGAGACAAGGATTATTATTTTATTTTTATTTATTTATTTAGAAATATAATAATCTGTCACGTGGACAATAATTACAGTTAGATATGAACACATTCACACCATATATACAGAAAACATAAAATTAAAAATAATAACTATATAATAATCAATAACTATATACAATAAAAAAATAAAATAATCTAAAGATAAATAAATTAAAAACATAAATACTCAGTCATACCTATATACAATATATACAATCAGGCAGAGAACCCAAGCCAGGCTTGTCCCTACAATTATACAGGGAAAAGCAGGACTCCAAGAGATTCCTGCGCTATTCTCTCAACCGCGTCACTGGTGCTAAAGCCAGTGGAGGTAGACAAGGATTTAAATAAGAAAAATGGAGAGAGAAAAGACTTAATATAAATTAATTATGATAGTCTTTCTATATTGTGATATATACAGGCTAACCGAAAATGTATTTGTTTTATATTATTTCTAATCAAGTGCTTATAAGAATGCTTTGTGATGTTGCAACCATATATAAATTATATAAATATTAATTTAAGAATTGTATTAAATTAATTTACTATATGGCTAAAACTTTTTTTTTTCCAATTAATCTTAATCAGTGGCAAAGATAAAGAAGTTAAAGTAAGATAAAAGGTATTAAAACAAATATTTTAATACCTTATTATCCAATGATTAATAAGTGTAGTTCACAGATATTTGTTCCACAAATTTACTTCAAATGTTAATAATGTAAATCATAAGTATAGTAAGTACTTAAATAAAGTTTGATTTCAGGTACATAAATTATTTTTATATCATAGCAAGCATTATAAAATATAAATATAAATATAAAATATATTAATCTTCTTAGATAATAACACTACTAATCTCTAATCTGGTATTTAATTTATCTTAGATAAATATTATTTTAGAAAAATTGAATATCCTAATAAAATTGATTTGAGAAGCTCCAGATCAAAATACATTTAACTAATTTACTAACAAAATTCATTTTGTACTGGAATCATAAATTATTTTTAGCCTGTAATCTAAATCTCAAATATTTTTAATCATATTGATTCTTGTTATAGAGCTTTGAAGTATGTTGTTCACAATAAACTTATTTTTGTCTGTGAAAATCCTAATTAAATAAATTTAATATACATGGAAAGCTAATAATAAAACAAAATAATATTTAACTTTCTTTCTAATTTCTGATTATAGAAATAATGTTAATATAAGAAAAGGTTTTATTAGAAACTTATGAAAATTGTCAAGAAACTTACACCAGCAAGATTATAAAAAATATGAAAATATAACCCTAAAAAAAAAAATGACAATTTGAGATTAACGTGTTTTATAATGATAGAAGAACAGCGAAAAAGCAGTTTTAAAAAAACATTCGTATTCTGAAAAACTATGAAACTCTACAACACATTTTAATTTGAAGGTGTTACCAACAACCCTGCAAGGTAGAGGCAACAAAATCACCTAACAAATAAAAAATGATAGGATAGGATAGTTTATGGTTAATTTCGGAGAATAAATAATCATAAAATCAGTCAAAATATTTTATAATAAAGTTTATGTTTTGATCAAAGCTTATGGATCATATTTAGAAATATAAGAGATATAAATATGTTATATGTTTATAGTGCACTGATACTGACTGGTTGTGAATATTAGGTTCCGTAAGTGGGCCTATTGGTATTTTTTGCCTTAAGCACAGAATGAAGACATGTAAATAACCAAAGAACGAAGAAAACAATAAAAGTAAATTAAAGATAAATGAGAAAATTGAATGTTTAAAAAAAAAATTATAAGTATAAAATTTGAATTGGTAATAGAAAATATGATAAGCTAATAAAAAAATAACAATAATAAATTGTCAAGGAAAGACAAAATGAAATCTATAAAAATAACACTTGAATACAGTAATATAAATAATATTAATATTAATAGACTAGAACTAGAGGTGTATTGTCCCACAAAATTTAATTCTCGTCTATTATTTATGCTAGTATGTACCAGTTTAATTTTTAAAAATAGTTCATCTAAACTCCACGTATTTAATCATATTCTTTTTCATTACCAATTCAAATTTTGTACTATATTTTTAATATACTCCATTTTGTTCTTTTAAAGATTACTCTCGTTTACTTTATCATTAGTTGTATCTTTATTACAGTTTACACCTAATCATTTAATTTACTTATAATATTTATCTTTTTTATTTACTTCACCCTTTATACTGTACAAAAATCTATATCTCTTGCATTCCTGATTTGATTTCAGCCCTGATTATGACAAACATGCTTAGGTTGAAACATCAATATACATTTAAAATATTTTGACTCATTTCCTGACTATTTATTACCCAAATATAAATCTTCATACAGTCAATTATATGTTATCTCTAAATAAGTTAATATTAACATTATATTATTCCAATTTATCTATTCTTAAATAATTAAGGTACAATACCTTGTGGTATTTGTGTTGCGAGTGGTGATGAGATGGTAACAAAATTCTTATCTTTACTGCCGTAATGACATGGCATTTGTTTTCCTTTCGCTTTGTCTAAATTATTCCCATAACACTGGTTAATACATTCTTGTAAAGTCACTCCTCTCCATAAAAGTACTCCTAAAACATTGTGTTGAATTGAGAAATAACCACTACAAAAAGTAGTTTAAAACAATGGATTTTAGACGAACCGGTCTCTCGATACTGAGTATAAATGAGATCCTCTTCTGATAAGGCAACAGCGGAACCAAGATGAGTTCCTTCTTCACCAAAACTAGTCATATAAAAAGAAATCCTCCCTTGCCTTTGAGATTCGTATAAAATCTTATCCATAACATTCAACTGTATCATACATTTATACATAGAGCGTAGCGTTTCATTTTCTATCTGAAAGAGCCAGTAAGTATTGTAAATACTATTGGAAACTCAAGCATGTTATTTCATCACATAATTAAATCAAACCATTGGATCTTTGGCAGAATCATATATATTTCCATTCTCATCCATAACTCTATACATAGGAATCTTCTTTACTTGTTCAGGTTTCAAAATTTCTAACTTTTCAGTCCAAATTGTAGTATTCTGGATTTTCTGACTCATTTTTGAGTTTGTTTTTATACTTCTTAACTAAAAAAGCAACGTTTTGTACTAAACATGAATGGAAAAATTTACTAATAGAACAATTAAAATTAATACCTGGCCAAAGTTATTGGTCATTTTTCGAGTAAAACGTATCATAGAACTGCTAACAACCATTTTTTCTCGTTCTAAAACTATTCTGTCTAGTTCCAAAAAAAGTAAACTACGTTCACTGGGTTTTTAAAATGTTACATAAATTCGAGAGGTCAGATGGCAAGTTTGATTTCAGACAATACTGGTATTATAAAAACCATAAATTAAAAGACAACTACAGTAAAATATATTTTTTTAAAAAATCTGGTAAAAAAATATTTTGTTTAATAAAATCAACGGTAACTTCTTCGTTGTTTGGAGAAATTAGGGTTGCCAATGAACTGAAAATTGCCAAGTCATTAATATAATTAATAAATTATACAATAACGTAGATTAAAATCACATAATTAACTGTTAAGTAGGTATAACATAAAAATGCAAATATATATCCTCTTTGGATCTACAAACGTCTCCCAGTTTTACGTCGTTTGGAAGGTTTTATTAGTTGTAGAAAGAAACTGAATAACGGTCCAACAATAATTTAATTTAAATTTTATTGATATATTTTACATTTTTTAAATATATATCTTGTTCATTAAATCCTGAATGATTAATTTCTGTATGATTCTTTTCTTTGGCAGAAAGGGTTCCAAACCGTTTTCATGTCTCCACATCGTATCGCATCTTTTTTCTCCAAAGGCTTCAGATGAGCAGCATCTACGATTTGCCTGAAATTATTTCACAATATTATCAGAAATTAACTAAACAAGTATATAATTATAATTCATTAAACTGAACCAAATTGTAAGAATCTCTTGATTGGTACAAATTATATTTATTACAACAGAAGTCAGAATAAGAGGAGTGTAATCTGTCTCTTATTTAACTTTAATTGGTGAAAATTGGCTTAATACCCTATATTTTAAAACTATGATTGAGATGAAAAATGCTTTAACTATATACTTTAAACGGAATGATAAAAAAAAGAAAAGAAAACGTTGATTATATACTGCTGCTGAGGCTGTTAAAATAGGTTGATTACTTAAGATCAATCCACCTTGAATGCTGAATAAACGTTTTCGTTTTTTGTTAAAGTACATAAAAAAAAAAATTTCTTTCATATTGTTTCTTTTAAAAGCACGACCTTGAAATAATTTAAAAAACGAGTACATAGCAAATAAATACTACACTAATTTCATAAAAACAATAAAAGTTGGTTATTTAAAATAAAAAGTATATATCGTCGGTTTATTGTAAAAAGTCACTAGTGCATTTTTAATGAAGATGAACGTTTTTGTGAAATCAGACCTTATTTATCAATTTTAAAAAAACACAGTAACTGCTCTAAAATTACACAAACTCTTTTATATACCAAATGTAGTCACAACAAGCAATTTTCTGATTTCACAAAATGAAAATTCATGTAAGTTCTTAGTGATTTAAGGTTATAAAATATCACTTAATGGTTTTTTTTTTTTACAATAAAACTTCGGCATATACCTGAACTCATCGTATTCTATGGGTTTTCCGGTTGCTGCTCTCATTTTTGCATCATTTCTTATCCAATAAAGTTTTTCACCTTCGCAGGCCTTTTGTGCATCACTTTCTAGCATTTTAAAATCAATTAATTTCTCCAATTCTCGTGCCATGGTTGATAAAACTTAACTGAATTACTGGTGTTTATTTGTAACTATGGCAATCACAGATTATCGTAAAAGCTGGTTTGTTCTTACACTTTTGTATAATCATGGCTCACTCAATTATTGTGGAGCTAAGGAATGAAAAACACTATATATATTTATGATCTTGAAATTGAAATATTAGACAAATAGATTTGTATTAGACAGAATCTAATGGTTGAGTGCCAGTTGTCGGAGATAATTCCTTCAACTACTCTTACAAATAACCTCTGTTAAATGAGTTTCTAAACTATCTTTTTTCCCTACATATTATTTGTTAGAAACCCTTTTTTTTTTTTCCCCTCCTGGACCATTAAATATGCTTGGCGTTAGCTCATGTTCAGCATACAATATAATGAAATGAATTATTTTTATCTTGTAGTATTTATATTTTTACCAGAAATAGTTTTCTAAAAATTGAAGTTGGTCCAATAAATCAAATACATTGATTATTACTCATCTCTAAGGATAGGTATCCGTGCTTGGTGAAGCCCGGACCATTTCAGTAAGTTATTCCTTTGGTACGGGCGATTCTTTTTCACTTGATCGAGTGAAAGGGAAGACAGCAGCAATAATTTAAGTAGTGTAACAATGTTAAAAGAATTGATTAAAATTCTGTAGCTCGCCATCTTTAGTTTATTTAAGTTGCCATGAGTTAATGTATGAGATCTAGTTCGTGTTGGAACTGTGATACCCGAAAAGATGTGAAAACCAAGCATAGGTATTCAAGATGAGTGTGCATGGGTGTACTCATCGATGGTATCGTTTCGTCCAGTTAAGAGAAAGATCTCTGGGTTAAGTCTAGTACTTGCTATATAATCTACTATGGGCCGGTACTTGGGAAATATCGGGGATGAAGGTCAATGTCAAACGATAACAAGGTTTAGTGCCTGAGAGGGAAGAGAGAGTCTATTACCTTTAATATAGTATAACTTACCTATACACTTCGTTGAAGTCATTTTCAAGTAAATAGCTTCAAAATATATAGCAACCTTGATAAAAATTTGAGGTATCAAAAGTGCCCTAGATCTTTAACCTTAAAGATTTGTAATTCGTCTAATGAAAAAGTGGAATCCCTTCTTGAAGGATGAAGTTTTATGTATACATAAAATGGTTAAATTTGATTAAGTAAACAAGGTCGGAAGAATAGTTAGAATAAATGAGAAAAAAATGAAAGTATGTAGATAATCAGTGACAGAATCATGTTGCCTAGACATTAGTGCCAAGGTCAACTTACATTTTTTACTATTTTGTTTCTTGTGTCAGATCGCTTGTCCAGACTGTTAGCATATAAAAGACAAACAATAATCATGCATGGTTACCAGATATAATTTTGTAAATGTATAGGGTATACTTGATTTATTTCTTTTGTTGGTAAAAAATAAATTATTTCTTACTACAAACGATTGAGAAGTTTATAGCGGGTATAAGAGGTATGGTAAAAAAATAGTTAAGGACATTTTTAGTTATTTTAGATCTCTTTTAAGTCTTTAAAAATATTAATATTAAGAAATTGTATAAATAAACTATGAATTACGTATATATGACACCCTTATCGATCGTATCTATGAAAACCAACAAAGAGCTACCATATGTTTCAAGTAGTTGTAGCTGATTATATCCTCATTGGTTTGGTTTTGTATAAGCTGCAGAAGCTCAGTTAACCTGTTTGCGGATGTAAACTGTGGGCTGTGTGATAGTATTATTTCGGTAAAATGCCTAATTTTCCTAGTAAAGAAATACTTATCTAAATCGAACAGTAATTTGATTGCTGATTGGAATTTGTAATATTAGAATAGAAGGTATTATTTTAACCTAATAAGAAGTGATGCTTTTAGTGGAAACTGATTGCCTGCAATATTTTATATATTATCTGTTGCGGTCGTGACTTGGTTTGGTTTGAATCAAATATACGATTTTTTTCACTAAATACTTACTTTTTCGTTCATGAAATTATATTAAAGTGTATCTAGTGATGTGTTTAACTATTTTAAAGAAAGATTGTTTAATACCAAACTACCAATGCAATTGAGGATGACTGAGATAACATAGTGTAGGTTTTGAAAGTAATTTTTATTTTTAAAGCTTGTTCGAAAATTTACTACTTCTGTTCATAACTTTGATTTGATTGTTTCTTTTTCAGATCTTACCGTAGAAAGTGTGTGTTAGGGTTGGCACAAATTTATAAAAGTTATATCTTTTACATTAAGTATCGGAGTTTCATTTGATCAATTTTAATTATTAATAGTGACTTATGAGACTAGAAGAGGTTCTTAAACTCAAAGACAAGAGATTTCACAAAGAATCTAAATTTAGTAATGCTAAAGATTCTAAGAAATCTAGAATGGACAATAGGTATTGGAAAGAATTTGAAAACATGGGAGACATGGATATTGACAAAAGGTCTGAGTCAGGAAGTGAGCGAGTGAGTCCTCGTTATAGGAAAGAATCCAGTGATAGACGGCGGCGATCAAAGACGAGATCAAGATCAAGGTCTCGCTCTCGTTCTCATTCTCATTCACGTTCCCGTTCAAGCTCTTCGAGCTCGTCTTCATCCTCTCGTTCAAGTTCTAGCTCTTCAAGACATCACTCTGATTACCGTAGTAGGAGGAGCACTTCAAAATCAAAGAGAGATGCTGCTTACCCTCGAAAATCTCCATCAAGGTCAGTTTTATTTTTAAAGTTTTGAACTTTGATACTATTTTTTCAATTCAGCAGTTATTTACTCTTCAAAAAGAACTTAGTTATATAAAGAACATATTCACATTTCATTATAGAACAAATCAAGTGACCAATTTTCAATGAACTTTAATAGCTGTTAGCTTGATCAAAATTCAGATTTGTAATTTACAGTTTTAATTAGAAATATATATATGATTTAGGTAAAATAATTTTTCTATGTTTATTGTAATCTGATTTTTTTTTTTTTAATTAACTTGTGATCTTTGTTTTTTTAAAGTATCCATATCATTGAAAAACCTAGCCCATATGTTAACTGTTAGCTTGAACTATCATCATTTCAATTTAATTTTCAGGGTTTACCTAAAGTTTTATTACATCAAATAAAGCCCCTTATAAGAAAATTTATCATGTTTGTAAAAAATCACTAGAGAATACCCTAACCTTTATACTTGTCGGTTATTGTATTCTTTGAATTCTTCCCATTTGAAATGTGATTTCATCATATTATAGAACTGTTGAATCTGTACTGGTGACCAAAACACCAATATTAATTCCATGGAAATGAATAGTTTTGATATTAAATGGTTATGTATTTATTTTACTTGAATGTGTTATATAAATATTTTTTTAAGATCTTTAAAAATCCGCATGACATATGGTAGTCTTGCTTGATTTGTGTTGTAAATAAGACAACTTGGAATTTATAATCCTTTTAGGATGCTTTTACAATGAGGATCTCGGCCATTTGAGTCATGTAGCCGATCGAGTCATGTTCAATCCATGTAGCCGATTGAATTTTAATATCAGCCAGAAGGATTAAATGTGACTTTGTGTGATGCAATTTTAAACAATAGAAGTCCATAAAATTGAAAAACAATTCAATATTTCTTATTTATGTATGTTTTTATTTAATTTTAATTTGAAGTCCAATTGATGTGGTATTGTTCCATTAAAGTCTCGAATAAATACCTGCAATATTTTCATTAGTTACAATTATTGTAACGATGGGCATCTATTTTTCTTGTTTAATTACCATTTTGTCAGTGATTTATATTTAGTTTTTGTCTACACCATGGCAAAGTTTACTTATTTTTATGTCTGTAAAAGAATTGTTATTTATGAAAATTGATTTTATTTTATTTTTTATTGTACTAAACTTTATCATTAAAAAAAATGTATAATTTAGGACAGGGAGCAGTTATAGCAATAAACGAGATGAAGAGAGGAACGGAAGTGGTTGGCATCCGCCTAATCACCCTGGTTATACAAGTCAAGGTCAGGATATGCCTTCTTCGACTTCTTATATTCCTTCGCAGTATCCATCTTCGGTTCAGGTAGTTAGTGCAGTATTTATTATTTTTTAATTTTAGTACAAGTATTAGGGACAGAGTTCCAAAGGATTTAGAAAAATCAATGAGACTCATTATTAGTTTCATGCTTTTGGTGGTGCTGGCTTCATTTTATGAGAATACCTCGTGGATGGGTGAAAATTTCTTTTTTAAAAAATTATATTAATATTATTTGCTACCTATATTTACTTATTTTACTGATTACTATCTTTGTACTGATTTTGAGAGTGATCAGAATAAAATAATTAGTCGGTAGTGAATTTCCGGAATTGCCCTTTCCAAAGGAATATTCAAACTTTAGTAATTCCTCTTGCCTTGCAGGCTAGTCTACTGTCATTGCCATAAGTCATTTTATGGTAAACCCCTCTATATCTTGCTATTATTTTATATTTATTTTGAAGAAAATTACATAAATTTATTAGAATAGGAAATAGCAATGACTAATGACATATAATTATTAGGAATGGACATCTGTCATTTTTAAAAAGTCAAGAAAAAAAAAATTTGTCTAACATAAAATTTAAACCAATTCTAATGATTTTGTTTTATGATAGAGATAACATTCCTCAGGAACAATGTCTGGAAGATGCCTGTATCAAGATACTTTTTTAATTTAGGTTAAATTTGTGTTAGTAGATTTTATAAACTCCCAGATATTATTCTTGGGATGTATATTGGTTCTTAATTTTTTGTGAAAACATCAATGTATTAGAAAACCTATACTACTACAACTGATGAAGGTTTTTCTGTTCAGCACTTTGTTAGGAAGTACCGTCTCAAGATCAAAGTTTGTGGAGGGAGGTGATAAAGCCAGGATCATGCTCAACCGTCAGGTTTTTCCCCTTAATTAATTATTAAGAGTGCACACTTTATAGAGGCTGGGTGGGTGTGCCCCAGGAGCGTCACCTGACCCCAGGGTCAATCCATGGGTGATGAGAAATTACTTGACATCAGCCAGATTCGAGCCCGGGACCTTGAGCTTAGGCACCCAATGCCTAATTCGCTGATCTACTACCCTTCCCACATCAATATGTTATAAACTAATAAGTATATACAAAAAAAAAAGAAGTCCTCAACGAATATTCGCTGTTCTGCTCTTTTTCCAGCTAGCTAAGCTAGGCTAATGCTTCAGTAAAACCTCATGATTATTTATGATTTGAATTTGTGTATATTTAATTTTTAAATGCCTTTATTTCTTTATTTTTATAGGGCTCATATCCTCCCAATTTTCAAGGGCAGCAGAACTTCGGCAGCAATTATGGTTACCCTGGGTATGAATCAACTGGCAATTATTACCCACCGAACCCACAAAATTTTCCACATGCTACGCAACCTCCTATTAATGTAAGATATTTATCTCCATTAGTTTTATTTATAGATGGTATGTTGAAGTAATTGTAAGAAAAGTTCGTAATAAGCCTCTATATTGCTTAATGCTGTGAGTGATTCCCGGATTTGTATGCAAATCAATATTTTGTTTCAATATTTTTTTTCAAAAACTTGAATTGATATCTTCATGAAACAAATATTTTGGCCAAAATAGATAACTGGACATATTTAGGCTCAAAAGGCATATATTGGGTTGTCTGAAAAATAGTGCAGGATTTTGAGTTTTATTTAAAATACCCCTCTATATTACAAACTGTTTACATTTACTGAATTATTCATTAGTATGAATATCAACACTTATTAACCCTCTTCCAAACGATAATGTTTGTTTACCTCTGTAGCATTTCGCTGCTTAGAAATAATTCGGATTTTTGTACAATTTTGTTTTACGAGTTAAAATTCAGCCGGAATGGAGCCCAGACGACCAGAAAAAAATCTATGAAGTCTGGGGCGAGAGCACCATTGATGAATGCACTGTTCAACAGTAGTTCAACAAATTTTGAGAGGGATACTTCAGCCTTGAAGATAAAGAAGGTCGTGGAAGGACTTACTCTCCTGATGGCGATGTTCTGCGGACTTTGATGGAAGAACCCAGAAAAATTGTTTCAGGACTTGCAGGGTAACTTAACCTTAGCAAATCGACTGTCGATGATCACCTCAGAGCGATTGGAAAGGTAAAAAAGCTTGAAAGTTGGATTCCACACACATTTAACGACCGCAAAAAAAAAAATCAGTGTTATGAAGTTTGTGCTACACTTCTTTGCCGAAACATAAATGACCCTTTTCCGTCCAGAATTGTTACTTGTGATGAAAAGTGGATACTTTACGATAATAGTAGACGTTTTGGACAGTGGCTCAACAAATGAGAAGCAGCAGAACATTTTCCAAAGCCCCCAACTCATCAACAACAGATGATGGTTACTGTTTGGTGGGCTTCATTTGGTGTGATACACTACAGCTTCTTAAATCCTGGAAAAACCATCAACGTCGAATCATATTGTAACCAAATTAATGCAATGCATCAGGAATTTTCAATAATAATTCCATCTTTGGTCAATCGGAAGGGGTCCTTTTATTACATGACAACGCCTGGCCACATGTCAAGTCACAAAAAATGTTGGAACTTGGATATGAAGCTCTGCCACATCCGCCCTACTTTCTGGACCTCTCGCCTACTGATTATTAATTTGGTAGACACCTGGACCACTGCTTACACAACAACAAATTTAATGGATAAAGGGAATTAAAAAACGCTAATCCATTTTGGAGTTTGTCAATTCTAAAGATGGGAAATTCTATTTCGAGAGAAAAGAAAAGTTGCTAACACGTTAGCAGAAATGTATTGATAGTAGTGGAGACTATTTTCATTATATAAAATAGTTGTATATCTTTCTTTTTTAATCAAAATCCTGCATTATTTTCTGGACAACTCCATGTTTTGATTAATTGAATTTGCTTGAGGCCTTGAAAATAATTTAATTAATAAAAATTACATGTTAATTGTTATGTAGATCAATATTTCACAAGATATCATTCAAAGAACCATGATAATTATTCATGAAGTATGATTGAACTAATATTTAGATTAGAATTAAATTTTAAATGTAATTAAAACAAAAAAAAAATGTGCTGAAACAGAATGATCTTCGATTGACAATAATGTTGAGGAGTAGATAAGAAGTTTGAAAGAATATGGTAATTGGAAACTGAAGAAAAAACCTAATACACATGTTTCCAAGGAAATTAAATGAAATTTTCTTACTAAATGTAAACTTTTCAATTTTTTTCTAACTTTGAAAAAAAAGTATTTAAAATCTACCGAATCAAGCCAATGCCATTGTTTAAAATACTATTTCATTGTACTTGTGTGAAAGAAGAAGGAATGAAATTTAAAAATATTTCAAGGATATGTCTATAACCTTAGATTCATTTACTGTAGTTTAATAACTCTAGATATGATATTATATTTAAATAATTAGGTATCTATTGGCTGTTTTACTTTGTGTACTTTTAGAAAATTAAATTAGTGAATAATTTGATGAATTTTACCTTTGTGAAATCCCAACATTATCCACTTACAATTAGTGTGACAACTTTTGCCCTATCCATGGCAGGCAATGAAAATCTCATAATATTTTAGTAAAGTTACAATGGAAAATAACAGTTTAATAACTAGTAATCCTACAATCCATAATCATTTATAGATTAAATATTCAGATGTACTATCAAATCTCTCTAGGCATATATGAGCCTTTTGCTTGACAGAATGCTTTTATAAACCACACAACTTCAGTCTCTGAGCCTTTCAGTTAACAGAATGACTAACTCCAATTTCAACATTCTTTATTATTAATTTTAGTGATGTTTCTAGTGGCAAAATTTATATATTTATTCACAGTTCTATATTTCAACTCTGCAATCACCTATTCTGAAATCAACTTACTCACTGTCTGTATAGATATAACTATTTTCCAACTAGAAATATCACTAAAATGACATTACTCAAAGATGTTGAAATTGGAGTTAGTCATTCTGTCAACTGAAAGGCTCAGAGACTGAAGTTGTGTCGTGTATAAATTTTTTTTTGTTATAATAGCCGAATATTGCCAGAAAATAATTTCTAGTTGAAGTAGAGCGGTAAGTAAAAGTTGTGCATTGTGCGCACAGATTTTTTTTTTGTTACATTCATGACCAACAAAATTTAATTTTTCAAGTAGTGGATTTAAATGATCTAGGTTCATTCAACTGAGATGGCTCCACTCCTTATATTTTTAAACATCCTTTTTATGGAATGATCTTTTATTTATAAACCGGGCATCACAATTTATTTCTTAACCATTCCGTAGTACAAATCTTAACTTTCTAATTTAGGCCAGTTTATCATCTAAACTATATATTGTTGTTACTTATAAGTATGGAGATAAACATCTAACATTACATTTATTAATACCGTTTATTCTTGAAATTATTACACTCCTGTAGAAAGAATTTTTTTTATTTATATATATATATATATATATATATATATATATATATATAGATTATATATATATATATATAGTATTCTATATATATGATATTTATATAGATCTAAGAATATAAGATTTTACTAAGATATCTTTATCAATGCTTATTGTTATCCAGGAATATAGTATAGGAGCTCCAACGAACCATCCACCAACAGCCAACTGGGAAATGTTTCCAGATACGACCCAGCCTCCTCCTATCATTGGTGGACCAGGTCCAGCTGCAGGCCCCTTGTCAGGTAAATAATTGAGAAATATAAATGTATTAATATATTGTAAAGTAAAAAGAGGAAGTGATAGTTCACTACAGGGGGGAAATTTTTTAGGCAGCGGAGTAGTATACTTATCTTAAAGCTGTGATCAGAAAGAATTAGTAAAATGGGCCAAGAGTTTTCAAACAGGATTAAGAGGATATGGGGTGGCAGAGTGGGCTAACACGTGTGCAAAGCTTGTACTTTGCCTGGCGACCTGATAAATTAAGGATAACAAATTCAAATTCCAGTGTCTAGTAGACTTTTAACTCTGGCATAATTCCCCCTCTCTTTCCTAGCCTGGGAAAGCCCCCATATAGCCGAAAAGGCGAGAAAGAATAGAAAAAAAAAAATAGGGTTAAGAAAACTATTAACATATTTATAATACCGTGGAGGGAAAAAAGGGGTGGATAACAGTGTAATATTATACATCTTTAGTACTATCTACTTACCCACCATTTTCTTTGAAAGTGAGGTCTGAGTCCTGCTGGATAGGCCCTGGATTAGAGCTACAACTGCCGTGATGAAATTACTCCAGAAATGTGATTAATAAAAATATACAACAGTTGCTAGGAAATTACAATTGCCAACTTCACCTGTTTATTATTTCTTGTTTCTGAGATAAAGTTAATTATTAAAAAAACAATCGAGCTGTACAATGTACTACGCTTCCGAAGTGGAATAGCAGAAATTGATAGTTTCATTATATAAAAGTTGAATTGCCATCGAGAACCTTTATGCTTGGGGAGAATAATGTCCAAAAAGAGCCTTTAGTCGATCCGAGAAACCTTTCTTTTCCCTCCCTTACACAAGTTAAGATTAATGGAGGACTTAATTAAAACTATAGACCAGGAAGAAGAAGCTTTTAAGTATTTAAAAGTGATTAAGGGAGATGCTAAGATCTAAGGAAGGAATTTACGTCAGACCTCAAATTCATGAATGTTTATAGATAATATCTTTGATGAAATATTGAAGAAAAAAGAAAAAGCCACTTGGGACCCATTCAAAGGTATGGTGCTTAGATTTCTTGGCAATAGGACCGCAACTATCCTTAGTTGGCCAAGGAACTCTAAAAATATATTTTCTCCATTCCTACTTGAATTTATGGACATGTAAGTAAATGAGAGGAATGGGAAGAGATTTCACCAAGTTATTTCTTTGGTGGAGCAGAGATATCAGGGCCATTGGTGGAATGAATTAATGGTTGCAGAATACTACTGAACTGTTAACAGAGATGTGCCAAAGAATATATACAAGAGTCAGGCCAAAATGAAACACTATTTGGCCTAAATTATTTTCTTTTTTTAAACAATTTCTCAACCCTCAAAAGCTCTGTGAAATAACAATTCATTTAACTTTTAATTCCATTAAAAATATTTTACTATCACTAGTCATCAGTTGTAGAGTTGATTGTTAAATTAAATTGGGATTTAAAAAAAAAAAAGAAGCTTGATATTTTATATATCATGATATCGAATCTTTATATTTATTTTTAGGTGATTCGCACCAAGGGTTGCCAGATATTAAGGCCGAAGAAGCTAAGAAAGAAGGTATATCTTTTAATAAATTTTTGCTATTATATTATATCTTTTAAAATGAATAGGAAAGCATATAAAAAATCATTGTTGTTTCATTCTAGAGTCTTAGAAAAAAGTATAATTTATCAAAATATTCAATTTATTAGTATCTATTACAAGATTTAAGTAAGATGAAAAAAAAAGTAAGATGAGATTTTCTTACCAAAATCTGATATGATTGATCATTGATTTCTAGTATGATCATTACAACGGGTGGGGTGGCGAAGTGGGGCATTGATAAACGAATGATTATGAGTTCGAATCCCGGTGCTTGGAGACTTTTAACTCTGGCATTGATTAATGTCTAAAAAACAAAAAACATATAGCCTAAAAGGCAAAGAAGATGAGAAAAAAAATATGATCATTTCATTTAACGCACTGCCACTATAATTTAAAAGAGGATATATTCTTCATTCTTAAGGATGAAATTCATTGTTGATGGACAATATCATATTCATAAATCTATAATGATTATTTTTGTTTCTCCATGTATTTAAATGGTCCTTTAAGACCTGTTAAAATAAAAAATAAAATTGTTTTTTCAGGAACAATATTTATATTTTTTTATAAAAATATTATTATTTTTTCAATATCTCCTACCTCATAGGATATAGAGGATCCAGGGGATAAGAGCTTCATCATTGCTATGGCAAGATATTTTATTAAAAATATCAAATAATTTCTTTTTATATTACCTAAAGTGCCCAATAAATTGTTAGTTTATTGAAGACTATAATAAATAGCAATATTTAATTTTTATAAACCTAAATGACAACTGATAAATATCCTATTATATCTAGGAGGCTTTCGGCAAAAATTATGGTTTATTTTAGGGCTTTCAAATGCAATGCCTGGTATATAGGAATTTTTTTTTAATTTCGAAAGGTTAGAAATAAGATAAAGTACAAAATAGTTGACCATAGTTACATTCATTATGATGATGGGAGAGTGTGTATTGAAAATAGAATACATAATGGAGGTGTGTTATTTAAGGAGCCGTTGATATTGCATAAATTTTCTTTAGGCCTGGAGACTCTAAATATGACACAAAGTGCAAAAATGTTTAAAAACAATATTTATAAATATAATTCGTAATTATTGTAATACATAAATGATATTTATGTATTTAATCTAGCAATTGAGCAAGAGCTACTCCAGCAAAAGAGAACGCTTGCAAAACAGCGAGAGGACTATGTGAAACGAAAATTCTCTTTGAACCGAGAATTAAATAGGTTGAAAGACCAAAAGCGGGAACTGCTGAAGGAAAATTCGAAAGAGAATGAAAGAATCCTGAGAGAAAATGCCAAACTACAGGTTAGTAAGTCTATGTATATGTGTGTGTGCGTGTTTGCATGGGTATATGCATTCACAGTTTTATAAAATGCAGTTGAGCCTATAAAACTTCTAATATACATAATTTTGATCAATTGAAAATCTATTGTATCTGTATCAAGTACCCAATGGATGCAGGACTAATGAAAAAACAAATAAAAACTTAAATAAATTAACAATTTCAATTATTCAATATAGTGGATTAATTCCTTAGTAGGGCAGTGATGTGCTATGAAGCACAAATCTGGGGTGGGGTAATTTATGAAGCCGTGGAAAGACTACTAAGATTCTTTCTTAAAAAATTATTTAAATTACCAAAGTATACTCCAACACATTTTATTCACTTTGAGAATAAAATAGATCCGTTATTTATTTCCACAATTGAACTACATTTTGATTACATTATAAAAATTTTGAATCTTCCACCACATAGGTATCCAAAAATATAGCGCTACAGATAATTAAAAAATAAATCGCATGGCTTAGGGACTTACTTAATCTGATAGAACTGCATGGATTAAATTTCAACTTAAATTGATCAAACTGTGATGATGTTAAACTATGGAGAGCTAATTTATATTTACTAAGAACTGAAATTCAGAAAGACATATATTATCAATATGTAAATTATATTGTAATATTGTAAATTATTATATATCAGTAAATTATATTGATGACAAAAGCTCATTGAAGGTGATCAGATGGATAATTAAAATTAGAGCTGATGTTTTGAACTTAAATTATAAACACTTCAAGCAAACAAATAATATTTGTAGCATGTGATGTGTAATACAAACGAAACAGAAGATCTCTATCACTTCCTGGCTGCTTCTCCGATACTCTCTGAAATTAGAATTAAATTGTTGAAATCTAGAAATTTATCTCGGGATCAAGTAATAGATTTAATAAATGGAAACAATTGGATAGCATTGGTAAATTACTGCAAGTCTGCTTTGTCCTATAGAATAATGCTAACCAGAGAATTTAACAATGGGCCAAAACATCGGCAAAAATAAAAATAAACATAATCTATTTATTTTTACTTTGTTACTTGTGACTGCACATCCGAACCCAACTCCTCTTCAATTAATTCTCCAATATTTTCCAATGAAAAAATTCAAACATGAGAGTGGCATTAAATGTTTACTTCATTTCATTTGTTAAAATTTTATTTAATTTTATGTTAAATCAAATTTTATAATAATAGTAATAATAATAAATATTAAATTTTATAATAAAATTAAGCAGGAAGTCTGGTCACCTTATGTTAATCAAAACTACCTGAAGAATACAAAACTATTAATATATATTATATGTTCTACTGTGACATTATATAATATAATAGTCAATTTTTATAATGTTTCAATTGATAGTAAGAATATTGTATTTTTTATTAAGAAATTATCATATAAATATTTTTAAGTAATCACAAATGATTGACGAGTTAAAATAAATATACTAACATATTATTAGTAGAATAAATACAGTTGTTTGATAAAAGAACTCGTTTAATATATTTTGATAACTTTATGTGACTTATTTATACGAATTGTGAAGGTCTAATGTTATGTATAGATATTAATGAGTTTCCTGTATAATTATATTTTATGTTATGTTTTTTTCTCGTTTACTTTTAATATTAGTATTCTTTTGATGTTTGTCGAATTGCGATTTTGTTGATATTTCAAATGATCACAGCTGAGTCAATCATTAAGCATATTTGAATCGTGAATTTTCATTTGCTTATTTATTACTTTTCTAAACAATTTATTTGAAGTTTTAAAAATAGTTTAATTGGCTATATGTCTAATTTTTTCCCTATCGGGCATATTTATTTTTATTGCCTGATAAGCTTCATTGTCTAGTCACTCGTGGTTAGTATGCTTACTAAGTCATCGTTATTATCTGCCATTACAAACTCGTCTTCTCTTTTATATCGCTTTATAATGATCCGATATATCTTTTAATACAACTCATTTCTGTTATCAAAGATTTGTTTCAATGAATCTGCTTCATCAGATTAGATTTACTCTAGTAAGTATTCTAGTTTTGGATCGAAACTGAAATGTTTTCATTTAAAGTAGCAAGTGTTTTAGTTTATAAGTAGGGAACTTATTCATGTTTATAGTGATCGTTTATACTATTTGCTTATCAAACTTTTAAGTTTCTTGAAAATTATTTGGTATTATTTCATATTTATGTTTGTTTATAGAAATAATTTGCATAGTATATTTGTCCAGTCACCAGATAGTAATGTAATATAAAAATAAGTAAAGCAATAAACTTTGAGAGGAATTGGCTAAAATGTTTTTTTCTTAATCAGTAATTATATAGGATCTTTATTCAAAATGTTATAAATAGAAAAATCCGAACTATAAAGCCATGAACCTCGTAATATAGAGGTCTCTAATAACAGTTAACTTGCCAACGTTTTGATTATGAAGGCATCATTAGAAGAGAAAAAACAAGATCACATATATGCAGAAAAAAAACAACAAAACTGGCTAATCACTGTGTCTCTGTTCTAGATGTATGCTTATGTTAGTGAGTATGTATTTGAATGGCTTGGTGATATGTCAGCAGTATGTTTTTTACTTTCACTTACCTGTGTATGTAATATATAATAAGGTTAAGTATTGCAATCATGAAAATTTTCGAATCTGAGTTTTCAATGGAAATACACGTTTTGTGGTCTCCTGAGTCGAAATAACCAAGTCTGTGTGTGTGTATGTATGTGAACAGCCTAGCTCAAAAACAAAAAGTCATATGAAACTGAAATTGCGTAATTGAGGTTTTTATAAGCCTTGGATGTTACAGCAAGATTTTTGTCAAAATCGGCAAACCGGAAGTAGTACTTTATATAATAGATTAAACACATTTTAACGATTTTCTCAAAAACGGCTCTAACGATTTTGATTTAACTCAGTATATCGATGTATTATTAGTTTTTAATATAATGTAGGTTTTATTCTCATTGATAATCTCTAACAGAGCTTAAATGGCTGATTTTCAATATTGGCTTCTTCTAAAGTACCTTTATTTTTTTTTAATTTGAAATAATTAACCATTTATTTTACATTAATCTTTGATATAAAAAAAAGTTAAATATAAAATACGAATGAATTTTATTGTTAACTAAAGGAGAAATAAGAGATCGTAACGGATAATAGTTGTAATAGAGGAATGAAAGGAATAGGAGCTCGCCTGAAAGATTACAACAGGCTTCCTTACGAAACATGAGCTTTACGCAATATGGACTCCGACAATATTATGTTCATATACATATGCGGTTTTCATAAATGCTATCGTTGGTATTATTTAATATTTAATCGTATAAAATACAGCGATATAGAGGTTTAAATTTTTATATATATAAGGGTATTTAAACAAATAAAAATACCCACAATGAATTGTAAATAAATATAGTGAGAAATGTTCAACATTTAATCCTCTTTCTATAGGGCTATAATTTAAAATTGTATTTTGAAGGGATGAGATAGTTGGAAAGGGTAAAATATAGCGCAAAAAAACAAATAATAACCACTGTATTGTACATTTGGACTAAAATATCTCAAAATTTAAATACCAAGGAGAATCCATTAACCGATTTGCAGAAGTCAATATAGATATTTTTTTTAATTAGCCGTAAAAATAAAAAATAAGAAATTAAATGTTTCTATTCGATTTTATGTTGCTAATGCTTCAAAAAATTACTGACCTTCGTTACAGAAGTTTATTAAAAGTAATGCACCAATACTGCATAATTATCTTATACTAATTTATGTTTCATTTTATATGATGAATGTTTAAATATTTTCTGTATTTCTGATAGCAGTTTACACGACTAAATCATAAACAATTATAATAGTATATATTGTAAATGTTATTACTATTGTGAATATAAAACAAAAATTATATTTTACATTACAATCCCACCTTGTTGATGTTTTTACTTCGGTCGTGTGGTCTTAAGCATACATTGTAATTTCTATTTTAAATAATAATTTTATATAGTTAATACAATACTTAACATTTTAAATACTGTAATTTACTACACCAGTTAGTACAATTCTTAACATTTTAAATACTGTAATTTACTACACTAGTTAGTACAATACTTAACATTTTTAATACTGTAATTTACTACACTAGTTAGTACAATACTTAACATTTTAAATACTGTAATTTACTACACTAGTTAATACAATACTTAACATTTTAAATACTGTAATTTACTACACTAGTTAATACATTACTTAACATTTTAAATACTGTAATTTACTACACTAGTGTCAATAATTTTTACTTTTATTTCTTCCTTTGTCTGAAAATACTTATTTCTGCTAAGAAGAGAGTAGTAAGCGAAAGTCGTGTCATGCACGCACCAGTTTTTTTTTATCTGTATATATGTGATCTTTTTTTTCCTGCCCAGATGAACTCTGAATCAGCAAAATGTTGGGAAGTTTATCGTTCACCTGTCTATTAGAGATTCATGACTTAATAATTTGGATTTTACCATTTATAATGTAATCACTATGTCTCAGTTCGAGCTGTATGCTTATTTTAATAATATTGAAAAGAATAATAATAAAAAAAAAAAAAAATGTTTACTAAATCCAATAGTCTCTATCTGTGCTTATTATGGTTCGATTTCTTCTAATGATTTTGTTTTTGTCGGGAATTCAGGAACTTTTCAAACATAAATTAAATACTTTTTCAGTTATGTATAAATAAAGTTATATTTTCTTCATAACTTTTTTCTCCTGGGGGTATACTTTTGTTTTTGGTAATATTGGCAAAAGTAATCTTCAATATGATGAATGAATGAAAATAATTTTATTATTCTGGGACTAGTGTCCCTTTAGAAAAAGTTACAAATACAGAATATATATTAATATTTTGGTGTATCGATGAAATACAATTTAATATTTACAAGTTGATTAGGAATACAATAAAATTATAAATAATAAAAAGATATAAATACGTGTAAATGTAAACTATACAGAGAAAGTAATTAAGTAAACAAAATATAGATGAATCACAAAATAATCAGAGTATCTTGGTGTACTTAAAAATTAGGTGTTTTGGCTTCGTTAAATAAGTTTTAAATTCGTCAACATTAAATTGTAAAACTACCATATGAAGGAGTTATTTTTATTCTGAAATTTTTCCAAAAATTATCTGGAAAACTTAGGAAAATCGGTAGATTGTGTAAAACAATTTGATGTAGATCTGACCGATCGTTGAACATAAATAACTAAGTTATTTTTTTTATTTGAAGCTCTATCTTTTTTATTAATACAAAATATATTTTTTTTATCAACCTGAGAATTTGAAAAAATTTATATCTGATAAATCATTTTATGTGTTTGAAATTTAACCTGGTTTTGTTAATTTGTGTTTTTTTTTATTATTATTAGCAAGGTTATATTTTGGAAATAATTTTCAGAACGAAATCCTACAAAAGCTGAAATCAATTGACAATGTTATTGAAATGCTTTCAAATATTATTGGGGACAGTGCCCATCTTCCGGAAGTCATCAAAGAGATCAAGTCGTCCGAGAAGAAGAAATCAGACAAAGTAAATACATATAATTATTATTTTAATTTTGTAATTTATATTATAATTAATAACTTTCAAAGTAGCTTTTACATTTTACTTATATAATATTCCAATAAGTAGAATCGATTGTTTGAAGCCAATTTATTATCATCAAACATAAATTTTTACTTGAGGGTGATAGAGTTCGGAATCGCAATGTGAAGCATTCAAAGGCAGGTATCCTAACACTCGTACAATAGCTGAAATAGGATTGTTACTTTTGGATTACGAGCTATAGCCGGAAAAATATCTTTTTTTTTCAGAAGAAACGAGATAAAAGTGAAGAACGGCGTAGCAGTGAGTCTGCGGATGAAGAGCACCGTGAACGCGATCGGACTCGTGAGCGTGAACACGAAGAAAGGGATGAAAGCAGGCAAAAGGATGAAAACAGAGTCTATTACGATCCAGGCCTCCATTGGTGTTCCGAGTGCAATGTCTTTCCTAAGACGGTCAGTGAGTACTTAGAACATCTCCACTCACCAGAACACAAGCAAAATACCGTAAGTCTTCTTAATTAATTTGTTTACAGTTACATAGCTCTAAGTGTTTTTATGCTTAAACTAATTTTATTTAAAAAAGAAGTTGACTGAAAGAAGAAGAAAACTAATTTTATTTTTAGATTTGAATATTGTCAGCAAATATGTTAAACCATGTAACTAACAAAATTTTAAAATTTAACTTTGATAAAAAAAAAAAATAGTCACGAGTTCGTGTCCCAGTGCCCAGAGGAGTTTTTAAATCCCCGCCCACACTCCCTGGCCCGGGAAAACCCCCGTATAGCCTTAGAGGCGAGGAAGGAGAGGACAAAAAAAAAAAAAAACAACTACTATATATTTTTACTTTCCTATCTATACTAGGTAAGGAAAGTATTGCAATCGGGTCAAATTTCCGACATGCGGTTTTTGACGGATCTATACGTCTCAGAGCCCCCTGAGTCCGAAAAACACATTTTTAGCCATTGGTCTGTCTGTCTTTCTGTCTGTGCCAAGATTTCCTCGGGAACTACTGAACCAATTTTGTTGCTTCTTTTTTTATTTTGTAGGGTTTTGAACTACTGATGCCTGTGACAGAAATTCGGTCCTCCATGCGCAATAGCTTGCGCGCAGTAAATGAAAAACATGTTTTTCTATAGACTGTAGCACAAAAACGGCTCTACGAACGATTTTGATGAAACTTTTCTATAATGTTCTAATCATTGTTCTTTTAATTTTCATATATAGACTAAATTCCCCAAAAAATTCAGGAAAAAAAGTTATAAAGAAAAGAAAAATGTTAAGGGCCCTAACTCCCTAAGTATATGTGATACGGTAAAATTTATAATAAAACTTTTGAAAGGTAATTAAAAATACACCGTTTAGCCTGTAATTTGAAAGATAATGAAATTCCCTACAAAGCCATATAAAAATCGTTCATTTTGGACAACTATTAATGAAGTTACAGCTATTCAATTTCCAATGTAAGATTACGGTTTCATATCCTGGTGTCAGAAAGGGTTGAATTAGAGAATAAAGATGACTAAGTGATAGTAAGAAAATCTGTTGCCCGCATCACACAATTTTCACTATTTCCTCTACTTTTAACAGAAATTATTGTTTGACAATACTAAGCTATGGCAAAAAGTTTTTGATCAGCAATATTAGGAAGTATTATAATTTTTACACTGATCTACCTTAAGTCGGTTTGCATTGCTTTAGTTTATCAAATAAATCATACTCAAATCTTATGTTTGATCAATTTTCAGGAAAATGTATCTAGTTCAATTCTTTTTTGTTTCTTCATGAACATATGTAAAGATATAAAAACTTTTCTGAAATAGGTAGGAAAGTCATGTGAGTGAACACACCAGATATTTTAATTCACATTTTACATCTCACAAGGATTACGTATTTATTTTTAAAAAAACATGAAGGTTCTTGAGCTCAGTTTATAAGGAAGTATGTTTCTTGATCAATGATTTGGCCAAGACCACATTTATCTGCCAGATTGTTTTCTCTAATTAAGAGTACCCACTTTATACTGGCTGGATATGTCCCTGAAGGGTCAACCTCAAATTATACTGTTGATATTACAGAACAAATAATTATATGTTACTGTCAGACATTAACCTGATTCCAGAAAAATAGGAGCACTATTCCTTACTCGATGAGCTACTCTGTTCTCCTTTATTTATTTATGGGTATAATATTTAGGTTTTCAGCATGCGGTTGTTATTATTTTACTCCTGGGTCTAATGCTCTTCTGTCCTCTTTTTCCTTGTTCTGCTGTTCCAGAGGTCATCTTCGTCTTTTGCTGACTTACCCCTTCTGCAGTAAGCTTTCTCCTTACATCTGAACAAATTCCTTGAAATCAAGGTAGTTTATCTCCATCAGTTGGGGACAGTCAGCCTATATTTCTGTGACATACATCCCAGTTTTTCTTGAAAGCCTTATATTATAGAATACCGTAAAATGGTCATATGTGCCAGAGAATTCATAGCCAGGACAGTTGGGTGCAATATTCTTTCCATGGTAATTCAACTTATCTTGTAATCTACCTCATCCGTGTGAATCCGCTTTGCCGTCAAAATGGACTACTGCACTTTGTTACAATAAGTACTAGCAAATGATGTACTATCTAATAGAAAAAATAATACTTTGTTGATCATAAAATTTACACAAAAATAAAATGCTAAAATACCCCTAAATGAAATATTTTAGAATTATGTGGTTTCACACTTTGTCTACCTTGCTGACTTGTGTCCTAATATTAATGATAAGTATACCTGTACCACTACAACCCATGAAGGGTCTGGGGTTCAGTACTATTTAGGGAAAGCACTGTTTCTAGGTCAACGGTTGTGCAAGGAGGTGATTTGACCGAGATCACGCTCAACCGCCAGGTTTTCCCCCTTAATTAGTTATTTAATTAAGGGTACCCACTTTATAGAGGCTGGGTGTGCCCCAGGAGGGACTTCTGACCCAAGGTCGCCCCACGGCCAATGTAACAGATAAATAAATTTTCTGCCATGAGCCGAGGTTCGAACTCGGGACGATGATAAGTATAAATAAAGATAATTTCGGCGTTTGTATGCCTTCTCCAATTTTCATCAATCTGTACTCCTCCAAACATTCTTCGAAGAATTTTTCTCTCAAAGAATAGATCTTGCTCAATTCTTTTAGTTGTCCATGTTTCTGATGCTTGTTCTGCCGGGATAGAAGGCGAGAGGTGAATTCCTTGCGAAGGTCAAAGTAACACTTGTTAGCCATAAATATTCTTTTCTTGACCTCGACCTCGGGTGCATTGTCTTGTGTTATCAGTGACCCCAAATACTTGAACTGCGCTACTTTCTCAAAGTTAAAGGGGCTAATATTTATGGTCTCACCTGGTCGAGAGACTTCTTCTGTGGCCATATATTTAGTTTTGTCTTCATTCATTTCTAATCCAAGTGCTCTGTCCTCCAAAAAATAATGCAAAATGAAAAAAAAACCCTCTTCCGTACTGTACTGTGAGAGTTTAAAGAAACTTAATAATTTTACTAGGCCACTTTTTAGTTCACCAATTATCTATAAAAAGGGTGATATATTACATCTCTCATATTTTGAAAGTTGCATTTGTCCTCCTAGATCGAACCTCCAGATGCCAAGGCAGTTAAAGTAATAGGAAATTCATTATTATTCATTTTCACAAAAAAGAAAGATTATCTTTTTGGAAATTTTTTTTTATTGAAGATTACCTTTTATAAGCAAGATCTTAACTGATATAATATTGACTTAATACAATTGACCCGTGTGAGGTACCCTTTCAAAATATTGCCTTCAATTATATTACTTCAATAATATTGACTGTCTATGGGGCCGTTAAGACTTAAGGGTCAATAAATTTTAAATATGTATTGGTCTTCTTTCCATGTAATTCGTAAACCTAGGCATATTCTTATATTCCTCCTTAAATTAGTTTCATTCTGACTGATAGTCAGTTTCATTAATGTGGAACAAACAAATAATTGAATTTTTTCAGTGACCTATGTTCTATTCATTTTATGAAAGGCACAGGCGGATCTACGGGGGGAGGGAGGCCTCTTCGGGCTAATGCCTCCCCTCCGAATGGTAAAATATAACCATGTCTTATGAAAAAAAATTTAATAATTAACTCGAAAAGTATTATTGTTCATGTAATTACATTTAATAGTACTTAAAGAATCACTTAAACTCTATTTCATATAGGTAGTTAGCTTATTTCTTTTTCTTCATTAGTAATTATCGTTATATATTTTTTTTTTAAATCTTTTTTCGGGCTGAAGCCCTAATCCTGGTTCCGCTAGTGTTGAGAAGAAACATATCGATTAAGTACATATGCATGTTGTGTATGTACATACTATGTTTGGAATTTTTTAAGTTCATGATTTCTTTTGTAATCATGAATAATCAAATACGGAATCTGTAAATGTGAAGCTCTTGAGTATTTTTGTATTTGCTGATTAACAAAACTCGTCGATATGAAACTCGTGAATGTTATGATAATACTGTATTTCAAAAATGGCTTCTCCTGAAGGTTTTATTCTCAATTATAGACGAAAAATTATATAGACCTTGAAATATAAATAATTGTGTAACCAATAAAAACATTGAGAAAGTTATACTGATCTTACTTGGCATATACAATGGCATACAACAACGTATCATTTTAAATTTTGCTTTTATATAAAATTAAATGGCAGAAAGAGTCGGTACAAATAATTTGATCATTTTTTTTTTTTTGGGAAACTTTTATTTATTTATTAAATTATTCATTTCATTTATATTTTGGACTAAAATGGAAACAAAGAAAAAAAAAATACAAAGAAACAAAAATTGATATGTTGACTTGTATACTGTTTTTTTAGATTTCCTAATTGGGAACCCGCTGAGGAAAGTGGGAAACTACTTCGCCCAATGTGGACGAACCTAAACTCTATCAATAAGTGTAATAAATGTGAAAAAAAAAAATAATATGCTATTATATATTGCCTATTGTACCTAGTCCAGCTTTTATTGAGGTAGGGTTTTGTATTCATCCCGCAATCATAAAAGGATTTGTATGACTCATATATATTTTTTTTTCCGTGACCTGTTTTAGAAGTTGAAATTGGAAGACTATCCGTGGCACTTGGGACAGAATTTGGAAGAGAAGACCCCGGTCTTGGCGAATAAGGGCTGCCCCCCGAAAAGGATTCCGATAAGGGGTAAGTATTGGTTTTTTTACTACATATTTGTTTTGTATGCGATTTTAATGTCCAGGCAAATTGTTTTCAGCTTCTTTATTGAATGTAGTCTCAATTATTTAAATTTTGACAGCGTTTCTACGAAGGTTGCTTTTACCGTGCGAATTCTTCAGGGAAAGGTAGGTTGAACAGTAGAATTAAAAAAAAAATAAGGATTGTAAAATGTAATCTATGAAGAATGTAACATGGCCTTCTGTAAATAATGTAAATAGTTCTATTTGTATAATAAAGAAATGTATATGTCTGTAATATGATAAAAATAAAAATAATTAAGAAAACGATTTATGTAATGCTTTGAAATGTATTGTGAACCATCTTTTATTCAATCAAGATATTGTAATATTAATTGAAGACTTGTCAATGCTGAAGAAATAGAAAGAGGTCCTTTAATTTCCTTTTTGTGAATTGATAATGTCTGATTAAATTGTCAAATGGTGGTCTTTTAACTGCAAAGTGTTTTTTAAGCATTTAAATTATCACGTAAAAAAAAAAAAAATTTTCATGCTCAGTTACTAAGAATAACAGCCATGCTAATTTTAAAAGATTGCCATACATTAACAAAATGTATGTTATTTTTATCAATTTCAGAAATTTAAGGTAAAAACATTAATTGTATATATGTATATATATATATTATTTTTAATGTTATTTCTTTACAAATGATATTTGTCATGGACATATAAAAGGAAGCTAATGTGATTTAAAATATTTCAGTGTTACGTAGATGGAAATCCATCCTCTTCTTATCTCATTTTTTATGAGAATATTTTTTCAAATAACAAGAAATAAATCATTTTCCGATTTACACTCAAAATGTCGCTGAAATGTGGTCTTAGCTCCCTCCCCAGAGGATTTGTGTGTAGTCACTTAAGCCGTGATCCAGACTGAGTATTTTTCTTTTTTTTATTTATTAATAATACTATTTATTGATTAGAATAGTAGACTGATTTCGCTCTCTACGTTTTATATCTAACATGCCCTGTTTCGATGCTTACAGGAGTGCAGTTCCTGATACCGGCCACCGCTTGGTTCTGCTCCATGTGTAAGGTTTGGCTAGGAGACGTTCACTGTGCCAACAAGCACATCCAAAGCAACAGCCACTCGACTAACTATAATGTGAGTAGTTTTAACGATGATAATAACAAGTATCTCTCTATTATATATATAAAAGTTTTTAGTGACTTTCATATTTTATTTTATTTTATTATTTAGAGAGTAGGATGTTACAGGATCTTTCCTGTTAGCTCTATAATTAGCATTGATTATACAGCTGTTCATTTAATTACATATGCGTTGAGATCCTGTAACCTTCTACTCTTCTAATACAAAACACAGATTTACATCCTGGTATCTTCGTTAAGTATTGAGTTCCTGTAACCTCCTACTCTCCTAATATAAAATAAAGATTTTAGACCAAAAATTTGTACGGAAAATGGTATTCATTTGGAGATAGTAGTTTGATTTTACCTAGGTGACAGCAGTTATTTTTCGATGTAGACATTTTCCCCTTGAATACAATATAATATATCTATATCATCGTCATTGATCCTCGTCTACCGCCTAGGCAGTGTTAGGAGACTTTCTGTAGAACTTTACCCAATTGTCCCTGTCCTGTATTTCTCTCAATCTTTTTGTAAATGCTTCAACCTATGTTCCTCCCACTTCAATCTAGGTCTTCCTCTTTTATCTTCCACTCTTGTATTTTAAGTACAGCTTACGGTGTGAGTTGGATCCATACATAGTAAGCCATCTCAACCTATTTTGTTCTACTTCTTCCTTGGCAGGCTTTAGGTCGAGCTTTGTCCTTTTTGTTTGTATTGGGGACCCGGTCTCTTCTCGTCTTTCCTTCGACTTTTCGGAGAAACCTTCAGTGGCCTGAAGCATTGATTCATGTCTGGTCCATGACTCCAAGGAGTATGTTCAAATTGTGAAAAAGGTAGATTTGTAAACAGCCACCTTTGTCTTCTTCACTACATCACGACTATTCAAAAAGCCTGCTTTAACAGCGTTGAAGAATCTTCTCGCTGCACCAATGCGTTCTGTTATTTCACTGTCTATATAGCCATTCTTGTGCAGGTATTTGGTATTTGAAACTATTTACTTGTTCAACTATTTCGCCATTAATTCTTATAATCTGTACATATGAAAGAAACAAAATGAATACCATAAACAACATATGTTCATATAAAAGAAACAATATAAAGGCTATAAGAACGGATATAAAAGAAACATATAAATAAACATACATATAAAAGAAACAATATAAACAGGATAAGAAGGGAGGTTATGTGATGTAACATTAGATAACAAGGGAGGTTTCATCCCGACCAGCTATTTAAGGAGTATCTTATTATGGAATAGATAAGGAAGCACAATATAACATACAATGAAAATATTAGAAATACAAGTTTATTATACGTTGATAAAAAATTATACAATCTGAACTACAGAATGCATGTAAATTGCAGTTATACAATTTGAGCGAGTAGTACAATTAAATGAACATTTGTAAAACGGGGGTTGGTCTGCTGTTTGACGGGAAGGGAGTACCATCTTAGTTTTTATTATAAAACAACGCGGTCTAATAAAATATCATCTTCAAAGGTGTAGACATATGTTTTTTCTTCATTTCATGTAAATTCAAACTTTATAATTCATTTATCAGAAGCAATATGGTCCAAAACATTTCAGACTTAGGTTTTCTGTCCAAAATAATTTAAATTTCTGATGAAAAATTAGTTTTATCAAAAAATAGAAACAAAATGCATTTTGTTGTGTAAATCAGTTTTTGTTTTTCCGTTGCTTTAGACCATGTAGATCTTTGGCCGTGAGATGTGTTCTCCTTACAGATGTATGTTGCTTGTGGGAGGACAAATAGCTTGGAGGGGGTAATACAACCTCACATTGTTACGAACAGTAATAGGCCAGCTCGATAACTAATCTCTTTGAGGCCAATCTGGTAGTGTCTTCTTACTGACTCGGATTTAAGGACAGGACAGTGAATCGGTCTAGATCCATGGAGTATGGTTGCTCAGAGTCAACAGACGCAAGAGAATATATTCATATTTCTTTTCCCGAAACAGACCGTCCATGGACTTAACAGAGGACCTACAAAGCTTGATCAGGCAAAGAACATGAATGGATAATATATGTATAACCGTAGGGTTTCACTACCTTTTGAAGAATTTAAAAAGAGGAAAAAATAATCTTGAAAACATTTTAAGTATCTCCTAAAATTTTCTTTCTAATTTTGTTTTAATCTTTACATTTCAAACTAACTTACAAATGAAATTTTTAATTCAATCAAAATAAGCAATTATGTGCAGTAAAAACATAAACCTTGATGCAATTTAAAAAAAAAAAACTTACATTTTTTTTGTAAAATAAAATTTACATTAAATTAATCAGGATGTCATAATTCATGAAAATTAATTGTTCTTAAACGATATTAAGTAAGCAGCGAAAAAAAAGTGCCATTGCACGAGAATGCAGTCTTGGAATATTTAGGTTAATAATAATGGCAGTGGTGCTCATTAAAACACTCAATTTGAAAGTGCTATGTTATGTTAAATAATTAATTTACAAACAGTTATTTATATAAATTTAGAGTGATGGACCTAATTGATCAAGTTTGATAGAACCTAGTTAGATAGAAAATTGAGATATTGTAAAGATGTACAGACAATGTATAATATAATAAAGAGTTAAAAACAGAGAAAAGGAATGAAAGGAAGGAGGGAAGAAATTGAGAAAGCTGAAATAAGAAAGAAATAAAAGAAGTACTACCTGTCTCCTTAAGTGTCGCAGGGAGAATAAAAGTCGTTACAAGGGAGGGGGAGAGAGAAGAGATGTGTAGGTGGCGTCATCTCTAACGGTTATCCGACGAAGTTTGAACTAAAGCGCTAGAAGCGTAAATAGGTACGAGAGATATATTACTCAGAAAAATTATGGAAAATTGAACGAAAGTTAATAGAAAGTGAAAGAAAAATAACTATTGAGTAACAAGGGAGCAAAATTGAAATAAAAATATATCATATATACATATATATATACACACACATCCATATATACACACACACACCTGTATACATATACATATACATACATACACACACACACATATATATATATATATATAGATATATATATATATATATATATATATATATATATATATTATATATATATATATATATATATATATATATATATATATATATATATATATATATATATATATACTAAGTGGATACAGTTTTTCATATGAGAATAAAATCTCTGGGAGAACCCAATTTGGAAATACAGTTTCCCTTCAACATTCGCGGGTTTGTTATCCACGAATTTCCTTTATCAGCTAATATTAACACTAATCATACCAAGACTTAATATATACCTATTTCTACCATAGCGGGTCAAATGACCCGACTTTATGTTTCATGCTTGAATGTATGAAATATGGATGTTAGGAAGGATATAAAAATATAAATTAAATTTATTATGATTAAACAAAATAGTATGTTGAGCATTTCTATTACAAAAGCAAAAAATAAAAACTTTTAATTCATAGTTCATCGCAGTGGTGCTCTTCCAGCATGCCACCTACTTGCATTTGTTGCCAAACAGATCCATCATTCACAACATTTTCTTCATTTATTTCTACTTCACTTTCTTCCGAAGTTGTGAGTAATCTTATTCTTTTTCGGCCACTACATACATTCACAATATTTTCCTCTTCATCGTCAGTATCTGTAGAATCAAACTCATTTTTATTTGCAACCGATATACCTTCATTTTCAGAAAATTCATCTTCACTAATTTCTGAAAATTCTTCGCCAATATTATTTATATCTTCTAAGAACTTGTACTGTCTTGTTTGCTTCGACATTTTTCTGGGTAAAAAATGATCTGTATTACTATAGCTATCAAAATAAAATATAAGCTAGGTACTTACCAAGACTTTCAATTTTTGCCACTTTTTCTTACACTAAAAAGCTATTTTCAATCTAAAATTTGATATTTTCTTGAAATTATTCTGAACTATTTTCGTTGAACTACTTTACGCAACAGTCTTTGGAAGAATGTGCAACTTACTGACAAATATGACTAGATAATCTCATAAAACAAAAAAAGTCTCTCCGGGTCAAATGACCTGTTGTGGTAGATATCGGTATAGAACAAGGATTACTCAGAATAAACAAAATAAAAATATTTTTATAACTGTACATTAATTATTTAGAAAAAGTCATGAAGTCGAATGTGCAAACGCAATAAAATTATACATGCATTTTCAATGGAAAAGTTCAAAATGGGTCATTTGACCCGTTATGGTATTTTTAGTGTTAAAATGTGAAAGAGGTGCCGTATTTGAAGATTCCATATTTGATTATCCTTAATTACAAAAGTAAAACAAAAAACTGCATACTATACCTGCTACTACTATTGTTAGTGCAAAAGGTCATATGTAAAAATTGATTGTTTTACAAGAGTTTATAAACGATGTATAGGTCAGACGGTCAAGATCTTGTGGTGAGGGAATGGATTGAGGACTTAAATTGGAGAAGGTTGTAGGCATAAGAAGGATGATGATTGTTAATGATTTGATAAAGGAATGTGCCTAGGAAATATTGTGTTCTTATTAAGGAAAGAAAGAGCCACACTAACTCAGTGTAGTGGTGGGAGACACAGGAACGTCTCGGGGTCGCAATTACGAATCTTACGAAGCTATTCATAAGTCTTTTCAGTCCATCACTAATATATGTGATAACAATTAAATATAAGTTTTTTAATATTGATTGAAAACAATTTTTTTGTTTACGTATTTGATGATGAAAAATGGTTCCAAAAATTTGTTAAATAACTGTTCGTAAATTAAAATTAGCATTACAGAGTATTATAACTGCATTGGTAGCATTATGTTCAATAGTATTTGATTTCTATAAACTGATATATTAAACATGTACCGATAAAATGGTTATTTCATCCGATTGTTTATTATTAGTAGGGTAGGACTATTTCCAATGAAGTATTTCTCTCTCCTGTAAATAACTTTTTATGAGGGCAATGGTGAATAACCTGTTTCGGAGACCAATTATAATTAACCCGTTTGGTGGCAATTGTGAATAGCCTTCTGCTTTGTCGGGGGACTAGGTTATTTACACTTGTGAATTTAATTTTCTTAAAACAAAACTCTGGTACTGGATATAGACTTTATGATGGTGTTTAACTGTCGTTGGGAATTTGGGAACCTAATGCTTTTGTGACTCTGAGTGACAAGAAATAATAAGAATATATATAATATGGAATGTGGGACTGAGTAAATACACTTTGAATGAATTGACTCACCAGGTTTGTTATTCTTCAATTATGAGACATATAGGACAACTAAATAAAAGGACTATTCACTCCTGTATAACAAAATAATTTATTTTCATAACTATAATAAATTGAATCTATTAAAGTGTTTTAACTATAGATTTGATATTCTTAATCTACAGTGTAGTAGACTTCTATTCTCAGGTAACGTCGTTTTGCCTTCATGCCCGTACCTTAGGTCCCTTCTTTTCTCTCCGGCATCCTTCTCCAGGTACTGCTACCTGCCACCCGTTTTCAAGCCTTCTTCTTCGATTGTTTATCGATATGAGATTTTTCAATGAATAATTTGTCCTCTGCAGAATTGAGTACAATTCATAGTGCAACCTCACATTCCTATATATTCCTTCTTATTCCCTCACTCAATGTCACATAAAGGAGTAAATACTGGAGGCTATCTACTACACTCCGCATAATTAAATTAATAGACATAATTTTAAATAAATGCCTCTTTACACTAGTTTGGGTCGTTCATTAGAAACTCTACTGCTTTTACGTACAGCCAAATGGTCATTTTTATGCCGAATGGTTATAACCATTCTAAGATTAATCATCCAAACATGAAAACTTGGAACAGCACCATAACTATCCTCCAATGCTGTTTCACACTGTAATATTCTGTATAAAAAAAGTCTCATCATTTTTTCAAGTCCTTTCTTGGAACAATTTTTATCATTTTTACATTAATAATTGTATGTGAAAGTAGCCTATTTCTGGTTTAATAACTTGAGGAAAAATATGATCCTGGTGGAGGATATTATATAACTTGAAATAGTGGAAACTATTTATCAAGCCTTCGTTTCAACCCAACAATGCTAGTTTTCATCAGTTTAGAAAGAACAAAGTACCTAAATTCAAGCACATAAATTTCACACAAGTTTTTATTTTTAATCATTGATGGAATCACCCTCATTAACAACTTTTTGCCATTAAGTGTTAAAATTTTCAATGCAGGGTCGATAAAAATCAATTGGTTTTTGAGTAAAATATATAGAGATGTCATTTTGGACATCATTCAAATTTGCAAATCTTTGGCCAATTAGAAAGTGTTGAAACAATCTGAAGAGAAAGAAATCCGATGGTGCAACATCGGGCGAGAATGGAATGGTGGGTGAGGCAGGACCTCCTATCCCAATTCATTCATTTTTCAAGTGTCCGTCTTACGAAGTACGATCTTGCATTTTTGTATTGCGGAATAATGCCTTTTCTGTTGACAATCGCTGCCACTTATCAATTAAAGATTGATTTACACAATCCAATTGTTCACAATAAAGATCTACATTCACAGTTTGTCAAGTTTTCATCACTTCAAAATGAGCAATGCCGGAAATACTCCACCAAACTCTTAGTATGGGTTTAGCAGTACTTCATGGTGATCCTTTTGGAAAGAGCTACTGCCTTTTGGTTTATTATTTTCAATAATCAACCATTGTGATCGACCAAAAAATTCAAAAACTTAACCCCCTCTCAAAATTTGAGGTTTCAGGATGCATAGAACTCGAAAAACGAATAAAAATTTTTTTGACCGTACGCCGTCCGCGCATTTTCTCCGAAACTACTGGACCGATTTTTTTCAAATTTGGATATAAAATCAGAGGTCACCCGAGGATAATTCTCCTTGATCAACATTATCATCTGCCATTTACTTTCAAAATGGCAGCTGAAAAACCTGCGTTGCTACTCCAAATGTTATATCTTTTGTTTAGTTTTTAAATTTTGAATATGTTACTGATGTAATGCTATTTTTTTAGCATATTACCGATGATTAAAAAAAAAAAAAAGTTTAGTCCAATAATTGGAATCTCCTTTTATTCATTTTCTTTGTAACTATGAAGGTAATGTTACTTTAGATGTTTAATTGTCTGGAAATAATAAACCATTGTGGAATAATTGCAGTTTTTTTTTTTGGATTATCATACGGGACCCATTTTTCATCTTTGATATATAGAACAAATAAATAAATATAATAGAGTATGTAAAATTAGTAACAATATAAGGAATTATCAAAGACCATAAAGAGGATGTTTGATTCACTTCATTATGAATATACTCTAACAAAGCCAAAGTAAAGTTGGAAATAGAAAGGGAATGGTTTAATAAATTGTTTTAGGTTCTTTGATATGTGTGGATTTCTTTATTTATAAAACTTGTTTTTGTAATCTGTAAATGTTTGATTAATTTTTACTAATGTTATACAAATTTTTCTAGGAGTTCATTATGAAAAACCAGCATTGGGAAGTCGATTGGCTGACAGAGAGGACCAGATCGTATGAGCGAAATTCTGAAGCTAAGCAGCTTCAAACGGGGCCTCCTCCTCCACCTCCAGCCCAGCCTCCACCTACCCCCCTTACCATTGCCACCCTCAGTGACCAGCTCCTCGCCATGATAGCCGCGAACTCGAAGGTCCAGGAACCACCTCCACCTCCTCCCCCACCTCCCATTACCAAATCTACCTCTTCTTCAGAGGACGATTCTCCCAGCAGAAGATTTAAAAAGAAGAAGAAGAAGTCAAAGAAAAGTAAAAAAGAAAAAGATAATAAGTCTCCCTCCAAGGAGAAGGAACCAGACCTGATTAAACTGAATTATAAACCGGTAACAGAGAAGAAAACAGAGTTGGTACCACATGATGACAATTTCATATCTGAATGGATGCCGAAAGTGGAAAAGCGGGAAGCAGTTCAGATTAAACCTAAGCAAAAGAACGATGTCACTGAAGTTAGACCACTGAAGAGAAGTAGAAGATCAAGTGCAGGAAGTCAAGAATCTTCGGGGAATCCATCTGAAAGATTTGTGAGCCCTGATGACAATATGTATGATGACCATGATGATGCTGTCATATTTGATAAAAAGCCTACTGCTATTTCTTCTTCGTCAAATTATGAAAAAGACCAGTCTTCAAGAAGTAAAAAGAGAGAAGAAGAAGTTCCCAGGCATGGGAGGCATTCCAAGTATGATAGGAGTCCTAAAGAAAAATTGAAGTATGACGATAGGTACAACAAATATAACAAATTTGATAAATATAAACAAATGGAAAAGGAAGAGAAGGAGTCAAGGTATGAAGATTATAAAAGTAAAAAAGAAAATAAGTCTTACATTAATGAAAGAGACAAACATAAGAAATCTCCTGTTTCTAGATTGAGAGATATAAAGGAAAAAGAAACTGAACGGAAAAGAGGAAGAGGGAAACTTGATAAAAATGATGATGATGATGTTCATGAGACATCATTTGAAAAACGCACCTCTGAGAGTGCTGCAAAGAAGAAGGATGGTAAAAAAGTTGCACCAAATAATCTACCTAAAACAAAATTACCTTTTATTGGTAGAATGCCAATATTAAAGAAAAAAGTTGAACAAAAATCTGAAGAAAAAGAAGAGAAAAAAGATATAGAAGACTCCACTTCAAAAGATTCTATACCTGAGCTTGCTCTGTTACAGGAACCCGTTGTGGAAGCTTTACCAACTGATCCTACAACACCTGTCGAGGAGCTTCCGAAGTCGACCTTGATCATTAGTAAGCGTCCCCGACTTGCCGAACCAGGCATTGTTAAAAAAGAAATACTCTTTAACAAACCTGCCAATGATAATCTTACTGAAACAGACATGGACTTAGATGATGATAGTACAGTTGTTCCTAAAGAAGAAGAACCGGCTAAAGACGAGCTTCACAAAGACTTTAAAGATGCTCTCGATCTTCTGTTTCCTGAGGAAAAGAAAACAGATAGCAATGAAGAAGTTGAAGTTAAACAAGAGGCGGAAGTCAAGATTGAAGAACAACAAGCCATTGTTGCTTCAGCAGCCCCTACAACATATATGTTACCAGCTGGTTATGATATGAGTATGTACCAGACATACTATGACCATGCTTACGTACAGCAGTGGGCCCAAATGGGCTATGACCAGACAGGACAATATACTGGAGCTTATGCCTACCCACCACCTGCCATGGAAGGAGTTCAACAGTCTGCCATGGAAGCCATGGTTCAGTCCACCGAAGTAACAGCTCCGGTAGTTGCCGTTCCCGCCCCAGAGCCTAAAAAGAAGAAAAATCCTCTTTCTCAAAGAATGAGGCGTCATCTGCAGAAGAAGAAGGCCAAAGAAGCTGTAGAAAAGGCTAAAGAAGGGGGAGATGAAGCTGAAAACGAGGCTGGAAACATGGAATATGACATAGATGAAGAAGATGGTGAGGATTTCGAAGAGGAGGAGCAGGAACAAGAGACTGAAAATGAAGAAGGTGTCAGAGAAGTGCAGAGAGGTGAAGGTCAGAGTAAGATGGGTGATATGTCTGATCTAGCGCTGCTGGGCATTGACGAAGACGATGCTGCGGCGCAAGGATTCTATTAAATATAATTTTAGAGTTTTACCTATTCCGACTTACTGTTTGGGAGCACTAGAATAGACTTTTCACTGATTACACATTAACAGTGGTTTTGTTAGTAAGCTATATTTTGTTTATATGTACAAATAATAACAATAGAATTTTAGGTTGTATTTATTCATCTTCCTTACTCTAGTTGATAATGATAATGTAAATATTTTTGTCAATTAAATAATCATATTTTGATCTTAATCATTTATGCTCGTTCTTTATGATACTAAAGATACAGGCGTCTTGTAGTTCACTTCTGTTAAGCCGGGTATCCACTATGTTCACGAATCTATGGCGTTCCAAGCATGTAACAAGTGGGTATATTTTAGCATTCCAAGGGTGTAATGGTTTGCGAACATTCTAGAGCGCTCCGATGGCTCTCATTTTTACAGGAACTCAAAAGGGAGTGGAGAAAGTTTGTAGACGGCCTACAGTCACGTGTACAACATTGTGAAATTAAATGAACAGAAGAAAATGTCTTTTGCTTATCAAGCTAAGTAAAAAAAAAAATATATATATTGTGGAATCCTAAAGATCCAAATTATAAAAAAATAAATTTGAAAGAAGATGCATGTACATTGGAAGTGCTATGCAATCACCTACTGAGGTTAGTAAAAATAAGTTGATAGTTCTTCTGCCATGATTTCAAAGAGAGAAAATGAAAGTCAGCAGAGTAAAGGAACAGGAATTGGTAATTATCAGTAATAATAAAAACATTCATTTCTAAGTTTTGTATTACACCTCATTTGAAATGTTTATAGAGGTTAACATTTATTGTTTTGTTTTCTATTGATCATTAAATAATAATTAATAAATTAATTACATCAATATTAAATTAATTTAATTTATTGTTATTTGTTAACTTAAAAAAATATATGTAGATTGGACGACATGATATTCGTTCAACAAACATGTGAATACTTCAGAGCACTTGTTGAGGAATGGTGTTCGCAAACCCCCATCCTCATTAACAGAGTTAGTTAAAGGAGGAGCGCTGTTAGTGTGGTATAGTGGACACCCAGCTTTGAATTATATGAATTTTTCCCATGATGACAGGACACGGATTATCTCCAAAGACATTTGCACAGGATTAGAGAAGTGGAAAACTCTATATGTCATCTATGCTAGGAGATTAAGATTTCCCTGTTCTCACCGACATTCTCAACAATGATAACATTTCTGATATCATGGACATATCTGCTTGTTATGGAATCCATACCATCATATTGCTGAGTGCTGTCATGGAAAAGCTGCAATTCGTGTTGGTCTGCCAGAGGCCTTATGTCAAGAACTTTGACGTTGAATAAATATGTATGTTCTTTAGCACTTGAATTATCAAGTAGCTCAAATTTACTCCAATTTTTTTCTCTTTCAATTCTAGTTCCAGATTGTATTGATAGAGAACAGTACTGTGTTAAACAGCTGATGTTAGGTCTCTTACAAAAGAATGGTAATTTCTAATTTATATATATTTATTCACACTCAGTAAGTATTACATCTCTCAGTATTATATATAATTTTTATAATAAAAAAAAAACACTTCTTGTAATCTTTCCAGCAGAAACCCTCTCCCTCCCCCCTCCAAAATGGTAAAACAACCATGTTTGATAGAAAAAAATATTAAAAACTATCTCTTAAGGTATTACTGTTCCTGTAATTACATTTAATAGGACCTCAAGAATCACTTAACACCATGTCATATAGGTAGTTTCTTTTTTTTTTCAAATTAATTATCATTATATATATAAATGGGACTGAAGCCCACCCCAAAATTAAACCCTGGGTCCACTAGTGGTCAGGACATAACTCACCCAGTAAGAAAGAAATCCAAGAAACAGAATAAACCAATCATAACTCCTAAAAGTTATACTCAATAGATTTTAAATAGTACCTGAAAACTATTTTTTTTCTTTTTGCATTATTTTAAATAGCTATTTATTTATCCAATATCTTTCTATTGATGTATTGTCAACCCTTAAAAAAAAAAACAGAATTTAGATTATCACATTACCACATAGGGGGACTTTAAGGCTGAAGCCTCTCATCCCCTCCCCAAAAATGGTAAAATATAATCATGTTTAACAGAATGAAATATTAAAAACTCTCTTAAAGTATTCTTGGTCGTGTAATTACATTTAATAGGACTTCAAGTACCACTTATACGCCATTTCATATAGATTTTTTTTTTTAAATTAATATCGATATATATATATATATATATATATATATATATATATATATATAGAAGAAGAAGAAGAAGAAGAATCAACTTTATTCTGGGACTACGTCCCTTGAGAATAACAATATTGTACATAAAATTAAACATTACATCTGGCCAAAATGTATATTACAATAAACAAAAACAAACAAACAAACAAAAAAAAACAACTAAAAAATAAGGGATAAAAGAAGTGTTTACATAACTGTACAGATATCGGAAGCCATAATATGAGAAATAATGTCCTAATACTGCAAAATAGTTGCTATACACAATACGCTATGAAATTATAAATGAGCGACAGATAATAATAAAGATGTTATAGTAATAGTAGTATGTTCGTAGAACATAATAGTATAATCGAAATACAATAATAGTGTAATCGTACATACACAATATATACACCCAATAATACAATAATAGTGAGAATACAATAATAGTACAATAGTATATATACAATATACATATATTAATATATATATACATATACATACATACAATGCAACAATAGTATAATAATACAATATAGGCTACCCAGCGTCTGATTGAATTGTAAGGAGGAATTGGAAAAGGAGGGTTTTAAATGTGGATAAGGATGGTGCATGGCGGATTTTAAGTGGGATGGAATTCCAAAATGTTGTGGATCGGACAATAAAGGAGTGTTGAAATGAGGCCGATTTGTGGAAAGGGGTATAAAGGTCGGAAGGACGAGATCTTGTGGAGAGGGAGTGGATAGATGACTTGAATTGAAGGAGATTGAATGCGTAGGAAGGACGATGATTATAGATTATTTGGTAAAGGAATGTACCTAGGAAGTACTGTCTTCTGAAGGAGGGGAAGAGCCACCCTGACTCGGCGTAGTAGTGGGAAACATGAGAACGTCTCGGGGTCCCATTGACAAATCGTACTAAGCCATTCATTATTCTTTTCAGTCTGACTCCAAGTTCCGATGAGAGGCCACCGTACACTACACAGCCGTAGTCAATGTGGGGGAAGATGAGGGCGGATACTAGGAGTCTACGTGTGGATATGGGTAGGAGATGGCGAAAGCGATGGAAGAGTTTCAGGATGGAAATTGAACGTCGGGATATGAGGGAAATATGGTGATTCCAGGAGAGGGTTTGATCTATGATAACACCTAAGTTTTTAACTGAAGTGTTGAAGGTGATGGGTTGGTCATTCAGGTACAGGAGAGGAATGTTGGTATTTGATCTGAGAAGGGGTTTGGAACCGAGGACAATGGCTTGGGTTTTAGCAACGTTTAACCTTAATCCATTTTCACTTGCCCAGGCACAAATCCGATTTAGGTCTTCTTGTATTTTGGCAAACGCATCATGCCATTCAGAGGGAGCGAAGGAGAGGTAAATTTGGGAATCATCGGCATAAAGGTGATGTGAACAGTGAAGGATTGATTTATGAAGGTCGTTAATATATGAACTAAAAAGGAGAGGAGATATGCTGGAGCCCTGTGCCACTCCTGAGGACAGAGTTAGATAGGATGATAAAGGTTGGTTCGGGATAGAGACTGCTTGGGTACGTTGAGAGAGGAATGATTGAAACCAAAGGATAGAGCTGTTGGAAAAGGATAACGATTTCAATTTGGAGAAAAGGATGGAATGGTTAATGGTATCAAAGGCTTTGGAAAAGTCCAGGAGGATAAGGACCGTTAGTTTTTTATCATCTATGGCTGACTGAACATCACTAACGATTTTGATTAGGGCGGATTGTGTGGAGTAGCCTGGTCGAAAACCAGACTGGTAAGGGTCAAGTTGATTGGATTGTTCTAGGAAGTTGGAAATTTGGGATTGGACTATTCGTTCTAGAGGTTTTGCAAGGTTAGACAGAATTGAAATTGGACGGTAATCTTCAGGGGAAGAAGGGTTAGGATTTTTAAGTAAAGGACGGACAATGGCTTTTTTCCATGAGGAAGGGAATATTGCGTTCTGAAGGGAGAAATTGTAGATGAAAAGTAGAGCGGGAAGGATTTCAGGTAGGCATAATTTGATTAATTTGACGGGAATACCATCTGGACCAATGGAATTGGAATGAGATTTCATGACGGCGGATATGAGGTCTGTAGGAGAAATATCTGAAAAATAAAAGTTGTCGTCGTTAAATGATATTCCAGGAGTAAAGAAGGAAAAGGTTGATGGAGGAATGCAGGAGGAAGCTGATATAAAATATGAATTTAAATCATCAGGTTTGACTGGAAAGGCTGCTGAGGAAGGTGATCTGGAAGAGTCACAGAGGGAGAGTTTACGAAGGAGTTGCCATTTGGTTTTGGAATCAGGAGCTGCTGAAAGGGCTTCGTGGAAATAGGAGGATTTGGCTCTTCGGATATTGGTTTGTGTCAGGTTACGGAGCACCCTAAACGCTTGGTAGTCGTCAGCGAGTCTAGTGCGTCTAAAGCGTCTGCGGGCTGCATCGCGTCTCTTCTGAAGATCTTTAATTTGCTGACACATCCAGGGAGCAGGGGGGCGACGAAAGGTAGAGGTTTTGATGGGAGCATGGGAATCAAGGATATTACGGAGGTTGGAAGTTAAAATATCAACCATAGCGTCAATACATGAACAGGAATATATTCCATTCCAATCAAGGGTTTCCAGGTAGGGTAAGATTTTTTCACGAGTGAGGACATCAATATTACGGAAAGTTATGGTTCTAGGTAGGATCGGAGGAGTATGGATATTATATGAAATTTGAATTAGGTCATGAGAGGATAAAAAGGAGACCGGTACTTGTGAGGAGGAAAGGAGGTTCTGAGCGGAGTCGATAATGTAATGGTCCAACCAGGTATCGGACCTGGGGGTGTGATGAGTGGGCGAAAAAGGAACAATGAAAAGATGAAGAGAGAAAAAAAGGTTTTCGAGGTATGATTTATCGCTGGAATCGGAAAGGAAATTAGTGTTTAGGTCTCCGGAGATGATTATTTTGGTATAAAGAGGAACAAAGTTGAAGAGGGATGATTCAAATGATGGATCAAAGGGAACAAGAGGAGGTCTATACACTACGACATAAAGGATAGGAGATGTATCAAAGGAAATTTCAGCGATTAGGAACTCTACATGTGGGTGATCGGATGGTGGAGAGCAGTGGAGTATTCGGGTCTTCATGCATTCGTGAACATACAACGCTACACCTCCGCCAGTCCGGCTCGTCCGGTCGTGGCGGATTAGTGTGTAGTTAGGAAGGGAAACAGATGAGGAAGGGATGTAAGGCTTGAGCCAGGTTTCGGAAATTGCAATGATATGGTAACAATTATGGGTAAAGTATTCAAGGAATTCATCATAGTGGGCAGGGAGGGATTGGGAGTTGACGTGACAGGTATTAAGGATGCTAGACATGATTAGGCTTGAGGAAAATAAAGTCAGAATTTGGTGAGCAGACGCTGGATCGGATATGATACATTAGATGAAATAATGTAAAAATAAAAATATAAGAAAAAAAACCATTAAAAAGAAAAAAAATTTTGAATGCAATAATCAATAGAAATAAATTAATCAAAAATTTCCGGTAGTAACATAACATACATTTCAGATTTTCAGTGTAAGTCCTGTGAACTACGCCAAATTGTTTATCGATGTTGAGGAGTAAACAGGGATCGAAGAGTCAGCCGAAGACGTCTAGGTCTTGACTCTGGTCGATAAAGACAACCTGATGACCGTCATCCTTTCGGCACCGCAGTCTGCCGCCGGAGAACCATATATATTTTATTTTCCCTGCTGATTTCTTCTGCCGAGCGAGCCAGTAGAGGTACCTGTTCGTCGGGGTCATTTCCTCGCTGAGATAAATACGGTGGCAGTTATATATATATATATATATATATATATATATATATATATATATATATATATATATATATATATATATATATATATATATACAGTTATATATATATATATATATATATATATATATATATATATATATTTTCGTTTGGCACTACAGACCATGAAGATCTTTGGCCGCGAGATGTGGTCTCCTTACAGACGTGTGATACTTGCGGGAACTCAGATAGCCTGGAGGGGTCACCCAACCTCAGGTTACTACGAACCATGGTGCTGCGGCAGGCCACCTGTAGCTCCATAGCCGAACCCCTTTAGGGCAATCTGACAATTTCCTTCCCACCGAATTCCTCGGATTCAAGGACAGTGACAAGTCCGTCTAGATCCATGGATTATGGCTGCTCGAAATCAGCAGGCGCACGAGGACCTGTATTTCTTTTCCCGAAACAGACCGTCCATGGACCGAACCTCAGGGGGGGGAGGGGTCTGTTAACATCCTGGTAAACTACATCCCGATTTAAGTACACGGGGTAGGGTCATCAGTCCTACGACCGGTCGGTGTGAGTTGCCTCCAGTAGACTGACGTGGCTCACATACCCGGTGAGGGGGAGGGAGAGACTTGGGCAGCATGGTTTTCCCTGGTGGACGGTCACCCATCCAAGTACTAACCACGCTCGACGTTGCTTAACTTTGATTACCTATTGCAAGCGCCTTAGCGCGTACGGCTACCCTAGCTCTCCATATATATATATATATATATATGAAAAAAAAGCTTTCAGGACGAAGCCCCCCTCTTCTAAATTAAATGCTGGATCCGCTAGTGCATTACCAAAAAATATTAGGGTACTTTAAAAACCTGCACAGCCATCCATACCTCCTAAAACGAACTAATGTAGTTCAGTGTGGTGTTCTGCGCCATTCTCAAAACATCAGGAGATTTCTAAACCAAAAGTGTGAACGAGAAAAATACAACACAATCTTAACCAGTAGAGTATATAACTGTATTAATAAAAATCGGACTGTATCTCAAATGAACTCTGCCTTTGTGTATTAAACTTAGGAAAGAAGAATTAAAATTAATAAATGGTAGTTGGGCAAATTATCGCTCAAAAGATTATCTCGTGTACATAGAACGAGATGTATTCCAGCGTTCAGTGATCTGTACTGCTATAGAAGATCGCGCTGGGTTGAATGTGAAAGTGGAATAATAAGTAACACAGCTAGATCATCAGGTAGCAGCGGACAACATTATCATATTGCCAGAACATGTCACATTTTATGTATACCAGCCTTCAATGTCGCCTATGAACCAACGTCTTACCGCTTTTAGGCAATGTTTCTTGGTAGGGGTGCCCATCCCAAGGTCGATGGCGCATGAACTTAACCTCCTCCCCACCAAGATATTTTATTGCTAATCTTCTCTTAAAAACAGAGCATGGAAAGGTAGAATAAGGACAATTTTTTTTTATTCTTTTTCTCCCTGCCTTGCCATATAAGCAATACGGGTTGTAGCAGTAGTATGCTTATGCCACTTCTGGCAGTATATGTCTATTTAATTAAAATTTTGTTAATATTATTATTTATGAGGTGTAGACTTGTTTATTTTCACATGCCCACAAACACCACTTTTCTTTTCTTTTCTCCATTCTTCCTCCTGAAGCCGATCCTCGAAGCAGCTGCAGCTTGTCTTAACTTCCTTCTCTTGTTCCCAGATTAAAATGTATAGGACCTACCGCATCTTTCCACCCGTATACGAATTCCCTATAATGTGGGTAATTCTCTCTGCTCACTAGCTGGGGGAAAATGCTCTTAGCTCTTAGTGTCTCATAGACAGTACATTCGACGACCACTTGTACGGCGGTCTCCGGAACGTTGCAGTTGGGGCTTCCAGTGTTTTACGAGCTTAGCTCGGAAGCCCCTATGTCCCGTGAGGAGTTGAGACACCCAGTAATCCGGGAGGACCCATCTTACATTTAATCGTGACTTGACCTTGGGGTAGTACTTTCTTAGGGTAGCTCCCTTCGGAGTTGCCATCCATCGCCGGTTCCATTGATCAACTATGTCCTCCTTGATAATTCTTTTCCATCTTCTTGAATTCTCATCTTTAGATGTTCCGGTAGATCCGCCGAACCTCCTCTTTTCATTCTAAAGATGTAATAGTCTTCTCGCAGGAGGAGATCGAGAGGTGTCTCTCCTGCCAGTACTTCTACTACCTCACGAGATATCGTTCTATAGGGTCTAGTAACCCGAAGCAAAGCCAATCTCTGAATCGATGCTAGCCTACTCTTCTGTCGGTGCGAGAGGTTTAGATCCAGGCTGGGGACTCATATCTCAGAATACCCAAAACTACTCCTTTGTATATATTTATTGTAGCTGGGTATCTGAGATGCCAGAAGGCGCCTCCGACACGACTGAGTCCATTTAGGGCCACTGTGACTCTAGTTCTGATATAGTCCAGGTGAGGAGTCACGTTTAACTTTTGACCAATTTTAATGCCAATGTAGGCGACAACCTCACTTAAATAAGAAAAATTGTAGATCATATGCAATTAAACTTACGGCCGTTTGTTTCATATTTTCCTCTTGTTCCTTAGTCTTTTCATTCCGAAAATGCATAAACCTTTATTTTCATTCCCCCAAAGTGTGCCCCCCTCAAAGATCTTGATGGCGCAACTCGCGCCATGAAACCCCCTTCTGGACACCCCTATTTATCAGTGCCCTCAGGATTTAAAATGCGACTATTTATCATAAACACACAAAATCAATAAACAATACTTTAAATAACTCAACTTCCATAACCACTTTGGATTCGAAGTCGGTTACAGAAAATAGTTCCCAATACCTACAGTGATATTGGTCCAGTCAAGTATTTTTTTTTTTTAGACTATTTAATTATCTTTTACATAATTAATCATAAAATGCATATTTTTTTATTGACCGTCTCATAAAAGATCGTTTATTTTTAACCCCTCACCCTTCACTATCTCCCAAATGAACATGAGTGTCTCACTTCATGGCAGAAAATACCTGACTTCGTTACACACGACCACTGTATCTAGTTTGGCAAAAAAAAAAAAAGACGGACCCCATCGGTTTTCAGTTCTCACACTATTCATGTAAGCAAATACTTAACTTATTCATGCAAGAAAATCATCGTGAAATTTGTTGCGTCTGTATCGGTTTTTATTGTTTTCATATATGCTCCGTAAACCTATACTGAAAAATTTAAAAATTTTGAACCTGAAAGATAAATTTAAAATCGTATGTGATAATGGAAAGTTTCTAAACTCAGCGGTAATCTCATCACTGGCATTGAATCTGTTTCTAAACTAGACAAATCAATGATATCCTTGAGCTCAGCACTGTGTTGAGGAACTTTCCCAAATTAAATTTAATTTCACAGGCGAATTTAATGTTAATGACTAATTACAAATTAAATTGATTAAGTAAACATAACTAAACAAATAATGTAAATTGACTTTTTAGCTTTATAATGTTAATATTTCCTATGTGAGGGAAGCATTAAATAATCTGAACTACTAACCTAAATGTTGCATCATGTTCACTGTAGTAGCCTTGAACCTCTATGGTGAAAGTACTTGGGGAGTTTTGTTTATATGAACTGTCATTGACTTGGTTATATTCTTATCTTAAATTATCTCAATACTGAAGTTCAAATTTTGTTTGAAGCCTATTAGGCTTTTCTTTAAAAGAATGAGTAAGGTTGGAGTCTATGAACCAAACCAAGAGCAGGATTCGATGAAAACCCTGGTATGCATTGTTTTTATTTTTTGAGATAAATTGTGATATGTTATTGACAGTTTTATTTTTAGCCATTGTCAGATAGTGCTGGTGCAGAAGCAGAGCCTAAAAAAAGAGTACCAAAACGTATATTACATTTTTCGGATGGAACCCTCGAGGAATACAGCTCTGATGAAGATGAATCGGATGTTTGTAAACCTCGTTATGAAACACAACTAATGCAGTCCAATTTGGTGAGAAATTATCAAGGCTTGCAATATTTTTCTAATATTCATATTCGGTTGTATTCTCATGAATTAATTTTATGATGTTGTAGCATAGTGCGCCCTGGATGCCTTGGTTTTGGTATCATACAGTTTATGTTGGAACAAAGGCACTGGCTGTGTGTGATTACCTCGGAGAATCGTTAGCAAACTTTTTTGGAATAATTTCTCCTAAATATGAGTACGAAATTGAGCAATACAAAAAGATGATCGCTGAGGTAATTTTTTTCTTATCATAATAGTGGCTATATCATTGAATTATTGCTAAACGTCATTTAATAACTTTTATAAAATTAAATCACCCAAATAATTTGATGAATGATCCCTCTATGAAATCAGATAATGGTACACTTAATGTGTCTATTGTTGATATATTGGGTTAAAGCACTGGTAGCTGACAGTTTACCAATACCTGACCTCCTCCTCAAATAATGCAAATAATAAAAGTTCAGGACCTCCTAGACCTCTATTTCATTTATTTTTGGTTTCTCTATTTTCTCCTTGTATATTTGTCTAGTTTGCTTTAGTCTTGTTGAAAATCGTTACCATTTACTGTCCCAGGAACAACCATCTATCAGTAAGGACCCAATACATTAGGCTTTGATTTATCACAAAATTTTTGTTTTATTGTTTCTTGGAGTGTTTTTAGATTATATTTTATCTGCTTTTAACTTATCTTGATGAAAGAATAAGAAATTTAATGGATGTCAGCTCCTGGACACACCTGGGGCCTTTTGCCAATATTTGACAGACCGGTATCCTCATAAATTTAAAGAGATACACTGAATCTAACGAGTCTTAGAGTAAATGGAACCATTTATTACTCTCTCATTAAAAAAAAAAAATGCTAATGGTTCGGATTAAGTATACAGCAAAAATAGGTTTTACTATTGCCAAAAACAGGTTCTTGACAGTGAACAGCTACTGGTGCAATTACCCTTCATATTAAGTATGAAGTTGTTTCATAAAAGAATATTTTCCTTATTTAGAAATATTCTCTTTGAAGAATTAATTAAATAATTATTGTTAGGCACTAATAATATATCATTTTCTTTTATTACTTGGATTAGTTTATTCAGTAATAAACAAAGAAAAGTTTTGGAGTGATATGCTTTATAACTTGAATTTAGTATTTTTTTTTTTTGTTCTAGTTTGATTTTAGATTACTTATTTTGTTTGGTATGATTCTCAATTTAATAACGAGCCAAATTTCAGTGTTGTTCATTGTACTAATCATTTCTATTTTTGGCTCATTATTATTCTTATCAAATGAGGATAATTTTAACATTTATCTAAAGGGAAGCTGGTCAGGGAGTGTGGTCAATGAAGTTAAAACACACTAATTCCGCTTATCGACCACACACTGCCACTAACTTCTTAAATTACATCTATGGTCAACAACATCCGTTAACCTTTAAAATTTTCTTAATATTTATGATGTAGTTGCTTTATTTTTGTAATTTAATGACTGATATATCCTAAATATATATTATTATAATAGTACTAATTTAGCATTTATGAATAATTTTAATAGGAAGAAGAAAGGCGAAAACAAGATATTGAACTCGGCGGTTGGACAGACAGTACACAAGCTACATCTTCCCCAGTACAAACAGAGCCTCTAAGGTACTGATCAATATCGCCACGATTTCAGTATAGTTTTTTATTTGTGATGTTTAATTTTGGATTTTTTAAAAAAATAATTCAGACGTTCCATTATTTGTAATTAATTATTTTTGATTTTTATTATTTGAAAAGTTCGGTCGAATAACAGTCTATGTTAAATTTTCATGAAATCTGGTTTTTTAATGAATTATGTTCTACTTAGCTTCAATTACATATTCTTAATGTAAAGTTGTAATAATACCATAAAAGATCGATGCCTTTCAAGCAAAAGTTTTTCATAATTTTTTATTTTCTCTAAATGGAAGATCTACGTAGACCATTATTGGGCCAAAGCCTTCATTTATTTGTAATTGAACTGCTTTATTTGAAGTATTTTTGCTCAAGTATTGAAGTATGAATGTATTTTTTTTTTTTTATATTTATCTTCTTATCAGTGATTAATTACTTGTAATTTAAAATGGCTTATGTTATTTGAACTAGAGGAATATAATCTTAACATTTTTTTTCCTTTATATCATTTTCTTCGTTCTATTTAAGGCTTGTTTAAAAACTTTTTGGACCTCAAATATGATTATTCAAAATTTAATATATCAATCAAAAGGTTAAAAAAAAATCGTTTAAAAAAAAATCATGGTTCATTTAGAGAACAATTAAAATTTAAAAAAAAATATGAACAACTATCATATATCAATACTTAGCTATGTGATTTTGAGAAAATATCATACTTTATTATCATTTCCTGTTTTTGAGTGAATAATATTTTTTCTATTATTCAAATGAATTCTTGAATAATATTCAGATCATTCACTTATTGGTTAAATATGTAACTCAACAGTATTTACAAAAAAGATCTAGCTTTTCATCATTATTTACTTTATATATTTGTGATAATTTCTGATTAATTATGTCCACAATTTTTCTTTTTGTATTTTGTGTTAATATTTTTTCTGGTATACAATTTATAAAATCTTATTATAAAGCAAGAGAAATTTGTAATTTTTTATTGTATATTTTCTAATTGATCAATCAAAATTACACATTTTGGAGTTATCTGTCCACATGACTTCCCTTTTTTTTTTTTTTTTTATTTATACTTCTGTATTTCTTTGAGAATTTAGTAATTTTGTGAGAGAAAAATTAAACAGATATTTAAATTTGGTATGAAATACCTTGCTTAAAAGATATAAATATAATATGCATGTACTGTATTTTCTTTTCTTGATATTTTTATATAATTGTTTATTTATTTTTTCTATGCTTGTAAATTTATTGATGTTTAATTAGCTTATTTATTTATTATTATTTTTAAAATATTCTTATTGTAAGAGTCTTTGTTATTTTGTTAAATTTATTATAATTTTATCATTACAGTACACTCTCACTACTTTAGCTGACATCAGATCATGGTAGGGTAGCGATGGATTGTTGGAAGTTTAATAATAAAAGAACTGTTTATTAGAAAAAGTTGTATTTATTTCATAATATATAACATTATATGTATTTAGAGTATGTAATTTTTTTATATTTATTCTAATTGATAATCTGAAGACTATTCTGCTGAAAGTGTACTAGTGAGTGTGTACCGTGATTATTTAAATTTGTAATAACGGCTTGTAAAACAGTGACAATTTTATATCAGCTGCTTAGTATTTTTATTCCTTTTTTTGTCAGCTGTTTTATTAAAATGATCAAAGCTTTTATTTTAATTTTATTTATTTATAGTATTTTCTATCATTGAAGGTTCATGTAGTAAACAATGCTGCTAAAAATAAAACTAAATAAAATAAAAATAAAAATAAAATATTTAATGCTCAGTAGCTCAAATGAGGTCTACTAAGAAACGTCGCCTCATGTATCATATATGTTTTTTTTTATTTCATAACAATTTTATACTTGCTATTAGTGGTAGGGTGGCATTCATTCTAGCATGATATAAAGTTAATATAGTTTTCGATTTATAAATTAGATATCAAGCTTTATATTCTTACTTCACGTTAACAGTTGTTAATTTCAATTGTCAATTGGCCAATGGTCCACTCTCCAATCCGTCCGCGGGCCTTAGTTTGGAGACCTCTGATCTACAGGACTATCATTTTAAATGTCGATATTTTATTACTCTTATCATCTTGTTTATATGATCTAAGGTTTGTTAATGCTATCTCAAAAAAAAAAGAAAAAAAATTAAATTTCATTTCTTACTCTCAAAGTATAAAAATATGAATTTTAGATTATGATGCCACTAACTGTATTACTAAGGGACCAATTTTTTCGTGTGTTCAAAAATGCCAATGAAACTAAATGTCAATCTTTAACAATGTAATTTTGAGCTCAGTTTATAATTAGTGATAACTAACTAGCAAAATAAGGGAAGTGAGCAGATGAATATGCTTAATAGGAGAATTTTTTAAAATACATTGAACTTTTTTCTGTTTACTTGTAATTTTCATTATCATGAACTTCTCATTATAAAGTATATTGTGCCTTAATTAAGTAAAAATATATGTATATCTTTTTTTTTTTTTTTTTTTTTTTTTGTACAGAAAGTCTACCAGTCAGTAAAATTTGAGAAAACCAGAAAAATATTATATGACTTTTGAACTGCCTAGAAAAAGCTACATTTTTAAAAAAAATTGATGACAAATCGACGTATAGTTTTCTATATTATTGTCATACAAAGTATGAAATAATAAATGAAACAGCCTGTAAGATTTAAAATATTTTTATCTTTTATAACATTTTTACTTTTTGAGGTTCTAAAACTGATACACAATCTGATAATCTTTATTTAATTTTTGTATACCAATTTTGCAGCCTTTTAATCAGTGCAAGTTGCTAACAGAAAATATTGACTTTTCTTGGCTATCTATTTATTTAACTAACAAAAAATTGTGTATATGCTTTACATGCTGTCATATATATAGGCTAAACACTGAAAATTATTGTATATAAAATGATTTAATATTATTAGACATTATAGGACAAAAAAACTTAGAATTTGAGAACTAGTATTATATTTTTTTTTAAGATCAACAAATTTTCAAAGTTATTATTAAAATAAACTTTGAAGAATTATTTTATTTTTCTAATAAGTCTCAAAATTTTTTAGGTAGTTGGACCAAACATCTCCTAGGATTTTAAGATAATTTTTTTTTGTACTAATCCAGTATTATTATTAATAATAAAAGAATACTAGAATACTTTATTTTCTGTTTTGTATTTTTTTAAATAAATGGTGCTACATTGTTATATTTAATGATTTGCTCGCTTTGTTTTAGGAGTGAATTGACTCACATTAAAATACATGTTCAATTACTATTATTATACTACTATTACTAATAAAATAAAATAATATTTTGTTACCATTCATTATTACCTTTGTATTCTATAAATTATATTGTATTTTTAATGAGAATTGTTTATGATATATTGTTCAGTATAATAAAACATAAAGTATGAAATGTTGTTTTTCATTTTGATTCCTAAAAAAATACTATTTATTCTATTTTCAAAGAATATATTGCTCAGCTTAAATTCTTAAACATAATATCAAGGATTCAAATTGTAATCGACTCTATTTGAATATCAACAAAAAATTAAAAACTTTTTTAGTTATTTAGAAATAGTTTTTTTCTTTCAGATCTTTTTACATTGAATTTTCAGGAGAATAAGACTAAGGTTTGTCACATCTCCATCAAATTCTCTTTCATTTGATTTGATACCTCATTTGTCAAAATCCATGGTTATAAAATTTTTAGTGATAATCGTGAAAAAACTATGGCTATAGCCTTGGTGAAAATTCGAAGAAAAAAAGTTTTATTTTTTGTTTGCTATGAAAATAAGTAAGTATTTGTGGTTTCTTGGGGTGCTGAATACGAATCTCAACTCCGTTTCTCCTTAAATTTTTTTTTGAGATATCTGCAAATAAAATATTTACCTATTTCTTTCATAACTTTTTCCACTCAACTTGTTGGAGGATGTGACTATTGCTCTCGACCTCTACATCAAATTTTCTTTCATTTAATTCCTCATTCCTCAAAATCCATGGTTATAAAATTTTTAGGGATTTTCGTGAAAAAACTAAGGCTATAGCCTTGGTGAAAATTGGAAAAGTTTTATTTTTCATTTGCTATAAAAATTCGTGTTTGAGGTTTCTTTGGTTGCTGAATTCCAATCTCAACTCTGTTTCTCCTTAAGAAAATGTTTGAGATATCTGCAAATAAAAATTTACCTATTTCTTTCATATCCTTTTCCACTCAACTTTTTGGAGGATGTGACTATTGCTCTTGACCTCTACATCAAATTTTCTTTCATTTGATACCTCATTCATCAAAATCCATGGTTATAAAATTTTAGTGATTTTCGTGAAAAACTAAGGCTATAGCCTTGGTGAAAATTGGAAGAAAAAAAGTTTTATTTTTCATTTGAATGCTATGAAAATTCGCATTGGAGGTTTCTTCTAATAATTCATTTATTTTGTTTGTACCAATTTATATTTTGTAGCCCTGATGAAGACCTCATACAAAGGTATCGAAACGTCAGGGTATTATATTATAATCACGGTCAACCATTTCCATACCATTATGGGAAACAAATATTTAAATGGTTGTTTCCCTATGCTAATGTTTTTGTTTCTTATTTTTGATATTTTCTGTAACAAGAGAAATTAAAAAAAGAGTTGGGCTTAGCACTAATGTCACAATTAAGTTAGATAATTTTATTTCCCAGTTTGTGCAATGTAGTTAGTTTGTGAAATATCTAAACTCATCTTTAGATTGGTATATTATCACTATATATTGCATATCAATAAATGGTTAGAAATATATAGGCGTGTTATTTCAAATATTCCTATTAGCACTTCAGGATTCGATTTTTTTTTTTTTGGGGGGGAGGGATTCAGCCCGAAAGTTTTTTTTTCATAAAAATAACGATAATTACTTTGGAAAAAAAGAAAGAAACTAACTACCTATATGAAATGGTGTTTAAGTGATTCCTAAAGCCCTTTTAAATGTAATTACACGAACAATAATACTTTAAGAGATACTTTTTAAATATCTTTTTCGCTAAAACATTGTTATATTTTACCATTTTGAGGGGGGCTTCAGTCCGAAAGCCCCTCGTGCCTATCAGTAACAAAAATTTAACATTGATTTGTATGGAAGAGAATACACATTCACTAGTGTTATCGATAGTTTCTGTTATTCATATATCGATAACACTATCATTTATCGCCAATCCTTACTGGAAGGCTATGTTTATATATAAAGGTTATAGCCAGTGCCGATTATTGGATTCCTTCTCAAATTTACACTATATGTGACCATTAGACATAAAAAAATGTCTATTTACGATGGCCTAACTGCAGGCAAACCTGCCGTTGTCGTCGATTTTGGAGCCCGTTATACTAAGTATATAAATTATGTACTTTTACAAAAATTGTGTCTTACAATATTGAATATAGAAAAATATCACATATTTCGATTTGTGTTTTAAGATTTGGCTTTGCTGGTGAATTCAGTCCAAGATGCATCATTCCTACGCAAGTTATTTGTCCCTCCTCTAGAAAATTGCGTTGGGTCTTTGACTATGAGGATGAAGCTGATCTTTATGCACTTTTGGTCACCTTTATCCATAAACTTTATTTCAGGTTCACTATTTGTCTTCTTGATTTTTGTTTATTTTATTAAGTTTTATATTTTACCGATGCCGTTTTGTTGCAGGCATGCTTTGGTAAGTCCCAAGGACAGAGATGTTGTGGTCATTGAATCCATATTGTCTCCTACCAAGTTTAGGGATACTGTTGCTAAAGTACTTTTTCTACATTATGAGGTAATGTTAGTTTTATTAAATGATTACATATTTATTTTATTGATGAGATTATTTTTAAGAAAATGTTTAAAATTTAAATAAAAGTATTAATCTACTTATATGGATGGGAACAACATCTAATGATCACACTATAAATGAAAGTCCGAGAATAGCCGAGCTTGTTTGAAATAAGGAGAAGGTAATCGAACCATCTGTTAAGGTCCTGAGCTCTACTGAAAAGAATCCGCTGAGGGTTTGTCTATCCATTTTGAGCAAGCGTAGCGAATGTTACCCCAACATGGTGTGTGGACCAAGATCTCACTGAAATTCTAAAAATTGACGAATAAGTCTGAAAGTAGATAAGAGGTAACCTTTCCTCTTGGAATAAGGTCCTGACCTCATCTGAAAAGGAGCTGTTGAATGTTTGTTTACCTCTCCTCTGTGCTTAGAAGTCCAAAGTTACAAATTAATAGAAGCAATTACAATTTTGACCACTAAAATTATCCCTAATGAACTATTAATCTCAATTAGCTTTTCATCCTGATAAGTATTACACTCTTGGTTAATATTAAGTTATCTTTAGAATTCCATCTACAGTGTGATCAATGGTCAGGTTGTCCTACAGATAACTGTCCTTTCATACCCACATATTGTATTAATCAACAAGTGTTTCGCTGATGTCGCTTACTACAGGTCGAATGTTATGGAAAAAGATACCTATCTGTTGGTTGAGTTCTCCTCGAGATATGCTGGTAGGGAGCTTATATCAAGAATAAAATTAATGGTTACTTTTATTAATTAAAAATGGTTACTTATCTAGTAGCGGGTAGTCTCAAAACCTCCCTTCTTATCTAATCTCATTTCAGATAACCTCCGTGATTATAAATATATAATTAAACATTATAAATAATCTTCATAGTCTCATCTAACCTAAGTTATACTGTTGTTTAGTTTTTGTTTCTTGTGCCAGGTGTGAGTTTATTTAATTATAGATCTTGTCACATTGTGGGAATTGCCGTCTTCAGAAGAAGAGGCTATCAAATATTTTCAAGATGCCGGGATATTTGATAAGAGGAAATATTGTGATGAGGGTCATAAAATGAAGTTCGATGGGAAGATTAAATGGAGAGGCTTTCGTAGGTGTAACAAAACCATTTCTATAAGGAAAGGAACGTGGTAAGAGGGGTCGAGGATTTCTTTTTTAACGGCTTTTACATTCATTTATGGGTGTTCCCATTTAACTACAATACAGTGGGGGAAAGAGCAGCTCAAACTATCCATCGGAACTGTCGTAGCATGGAACAAATTTTTAAGAGAAGTTTGTGCCCATGACATGTTATATAGGTTGAATAAAAAAATTGAGGGCCTGGCAAAGTCGTCGAAGTAGACGAGAGTCTCACCTGGATTCATATTTATGTGAGTTTTTGTGGCGGCGGGTGCATAGAGATCAGGGTCCCTTCCTCGCTATTTTAAATACCATAAAATTATTTTCCCTACCAAAATAAAACTTTTCATATTTTGTTTCTATTGGTTCTTCCTAATGTTTGATTTATATGTACATATGCTGTTTAAGTAGTTTTTTATTATTTCATCTTTTTTTTTGTCTATTTTTATTATTTCATTTATTTTTATATATATGTTGCAATGTTTTCGTAATGTTTTTTAATTATATATTTATAATGTTTTGGTCTATTTTAATATATACGTTGTAAAATAAAAGCATTTTGTTATTATTACATTTGTTTCTGTTTTTGTTCACAATTTCAATAATATCAATACAATACAATAAATATGAATACGAACTTATAATAATATGAATATAATACAATAAATATGAATAGGAAGAGCTTATCAGTGTTAAGGTTATAAACATTGGTAGGTAGCAGTCTGACGCTACCTGCTATTAGATAAGTACCTAAAAATGTCTACCTGAGCTTAAATGAGCAACTTAGCATTGATAGTTATTCAGTTTCTAATTTTTTATATTCTTTATCCAAAGTAATTGTTGAGGTGTTTTCTTTTTTTTTTTTTTTTGTTTGGTTTCTAACTACTGAAGATAGGAAAGCTTTGTGTATTTACTTAACGGTTTAAAAATAATAAAACTTATATTTCCTTAATTATATTAGTGTTAGAAAAGGTTTTATTGTATTTTTTTTTTTTTTTTTGTAGGTGTCTTCATTACTCTACCTGCCATCCCACTTGATTGTCCTCGCAGGTCTTGGCCTATCAACTGCCTTAGTTGTCGATGTCGGCTACTCTGAGTCTCAGGTGATTCCTGTCTACGAGGGAGTTCCTATCCTGAATGCCTGGCAAGCTCAACCTATTGGGTCTAAGGCTGTTGAAGAGTAACTATTACTTTTGTTTTATTTATGTTACAATATATCAGAACTATTTGTATCTTTTTGATTGTTTGGCAGTGAAGTAACTGAAAGTTTTTATACTGTTTATAAGCTGATTAATGGTGTGACTATTACTTTATTCATTCAAAATAGTAAATTATTAACAATAACTTCCTTTATGTTCTGTCAGAAAGGTATATCGTGAGCAAACGTTGTTTTTTACTATCACTTACCTGCATATTAGATATAAACTAAGGGAAAGTATTGCGAGCGTGAAAAAAAGTTGTACAAAACTTAAATTACATATTTAAGGTATGCATATGTCTCGGATGTTACAGACATTTTTTTGTCAAAATCTGCATACCGCAAGTGCTATGTTTTTATATCATTGATTTTATAATTATTTTAAAAAAATATTTCCTAGAAAATAGTTCTAACATTTTTAATTAAGAAATAAATACCTTACAATTTTCATGTTTTCTCTAAAACAGTTCCTATCATCGGTTTATTGCAAAAATTTCTAAACTTAAGGTTTGCAAATCCTTTAAGTTTGTATTTGTGAATTTGGATCATATTTATTGATGCAAATCATCAAAGACATTGGAAAAACTTAACCCTTAGTGGTTACATACATATTACACTATCAAATTAATTATTTAATTAGGAATAGTTAATTTTTTTATTGCTTGCTATTTTTCTGTGACAAAACTACTCAGTTGTCCCGGAACTTAAAAATTAGAATCTATAAAACAATTATCTTGCCTACAGTTCTTTATGGGTGCAAAAGTTGGCCGCTTACATTAAGGGATGAGCAGCGTCTTAAGGTTTTTGAAAATAAAGTATTGCGTAGAATATTCGGGCCGAAGAAGGATGAGTTAACCGGAGAGTTCAGACGGTTACACAACGCCGAATTGCGTGAACTGTATCCGGGTAATATAATTGAATTAATTTCATCGCGGCGAATCAAATGGGCTTGTAAAGTTGTTGGACTTAGCAACGAGAGAATTCCTAAAAGGTTAATATTTGCTGTGCCAAATGGTAAGTGTCCGAGGGGTAGACCGAGGCGAAGGTGGGAAGATTGCATTAAAGCCGATCTAAAGGGACTGGGTTTGGACGGCGAACGATGGAGGGAGGTATGCAATAAGCGATTGGTGGTGTCGGCATCGAACCATCGGGTTCGCTAACCTTTTTATTATTATTATTATTAATTTTTTTATATTGGGTGTGGCACAAGAGTCTGTCCACCCCAGCAACATCTATGGCTGATGTATCATAATAAATAATCATCTGTCCCAGCTAGATTCAAACTCGGGACCCAAAGTACAGGAACTATCTTGGGAAACTACTTACTGAAGGAACTACTTACTGAACTATCCTGCTCCCTTTCACGTGCTATGTTTAATTTATTAAGCCAATCACTTCCACGGCTGTCAGGGATATTTACCTAATAATTATGCTGTAGGGAAATGATTCTTATTTGTCTGCTGTGGACTGTAAGTAAGGTTATTTGATTATAAGTAAGCTATGGGATTAAAGAGATTTCAATATTTTATATCTATTATAAATTGAGTTATTAAGGCCGAATCTATTACAATATGCGTTAGTACCTTAATAAATTTGATTTGAAATTATAAACTATTGTTGGTGAGGTGAATTAGGTGGGCGGTGGTTGAAAATTAATATCTATACTTGCTGCTTTTGTATTCCGTTTTCTCTCCTCTCCTCTCTTCCAATGCTCAGGGTCCTTGCTGAGCTGCTTGAGTTTCTACTCCATATTTTCTTGCGATGAAAATCTGTATAAATGAAAAATTTTCTTGCTGGCCAGCTATGTCTCCAGTCTTAAGTAGACATGAATCTTGCAGGAACTGTCCATACTCAGTCTTCTTGCTTCTCTTGCCGGCCAAGAAATGGCAGCAGTGTTGCTTGTTTTTTCATTTAATTTAAATCAAATTAAATTGGAACTTTGTAGTGTTCCCTTAACAATATTATATTATTCACAGATTTTTTTAATATTTATACATTTATTATCACTTTTCAAATTTAGACGTTTGAGAAAGAATCTTAAAGAGGCATATGAAGAGATAAAAAATGCTGGTGGAGATGCGAGTCGTGTACTGAAGCCGATTGATCTCGATTTGGAAACACTTCCTGATCATGTAATTGAAGATATTAAAGGTATTTTCTTAAAAATATGTAATGTAGTTTTTAGTTAAAACAAAAAAGTATATTAATAATTGACTACTTGCATAGAAAAAATCATAAATTTAAGTTGCAAGAATATTTAATTATCTTCTTATTTTTCTTTTTTTAGGAAGCCTATGTTTATATATTTTTTTATAATTAAGGTAAAAAACTTCCAATTTCCTTCAAATCCCTTTATTCACATTTATCACCTCTAACGTTTCGGGACAATTTTCCCATCATCAGAGCAATCTTTATATTCACTGAAACTTGCTTTTTTGATGTAGCACCATTTGTCAAAAATTTAAATATTTGTCACGTTCATTATATATTTATTTGGTGTTACACATCCTTTTTTTTATTCATTGTTACACTAACCTACATCTGGCTGTCTTCAATATCATTACTGTACTTTGTACTTGTCCTCTTTTGCCTTAATTATGAAAAAAAAAAAATTTTAAGTGCTAAAAAATTGTTTATAAGATTGAGATTTTACTTTTGAAATAATAAAACAAGCCTAAAATTATAGTGCAGCTGGAAACTAAGGAGAATGGTGGTGTGGTCAGATTTGACTTATAAAGCTACCAAACTTAATGCTCTCAAATATCTCTTGGCCCTAATTTATAAACATGCATTTATAAAACCTAATAAAATACATTTTAAACCAAATATTTCTGTTTAAAGACGATAGGATAAGAGAGAAAACAGAAAAGTATTTCTTGAATGGAGCTTTTAAAACTGGAAATTTAGAATAATTTGTAAGTTAATAGGTAAAAGATATTCAACAACATGAGCTAGACATTGTTACGACAAAATGTAGCCATATATTTACTCTTGTGATGTTGCTCTGTTCCCACCACTTTTTTTATCACTTATTATCTTTGCAAACATGTATCAGGAAAATTCAAAACTTTTTTGCGTTATTATTATTATTATAACCTAATCTTCTCCAAGTAAAAAAAATGAAAAATTCATGCAAGTACCCAAATGTATAGAAATTATTGATAATTCGAATTTAAGAAGTCAGGTGGGAAGGGGGGGGGAGGGAGGTGCGGTCAATAGTCACATGAATAAAACATCTGCCAAGTGAGGCCAGTGTAGTTTTCTCACCATTTTCATTGGTTCCACATTCCACACTTACCTATATCTCGAGGTCAATAATTTTTTGCTTGTGAATAAAATATTCCGGATAAACCATATTCAAGAAGTAATCCAAAAGCGGAAGTATATTTTTATAGTATTGGATAGAGTTTGATGAAATTGATTCCGACCTGATTATTTATTTATCAATCCCTAACTTCCCTACAAATTTGGGCCAAATCAAAGGTGCGGTTTTTGCGATATCGTCCATTAAGGAAAATACGTTATTACATATAAAAGAGAAAGTAGGGGTTTGAATTTAATAAAATTAATACAGCATCATTATTTTACTAATTCTCATCCTTCTTCCAACTTTGAGCAAAATCGAACAAGCGGTTTCAGAATTTGCGAACATTTGTGTGTGCGCAACCGGAAGTGCTGTTGAGAATTCAATAAAATCGATACAGCATCATTATTTAACCGATATTAACTTTTCTTCCAACTTTGAGCCACATCAATCGAGCTGTTTTTGAAATATTGGCATATCTAAGAATACATATTTTCTTAACGGAATTACTTTATGAAATTGATATAGGACCAACCCAAACAATCCCTGAAAATTTCTTGAAAATCGAATAAACAGTACTAGATGAAGTGCTCGTCATATCGATTTGACTTTGACAAATTGAACCAAATTTGATCATTGATGTCTGAAATGTAAAACATGAGTAGAAATTATCAATTCTGAGCTCAAAAATTTGTTTAAGCGCCCGCACAAATACAAATCTTCCCTACCTTCAGTAGTGAGGAAGCAATATACGAGAATTATATGTATTGGTTGCTTATGTTTCGAACTAAGTTGTAGGATTTTATCAAGGCTGCTCAGTAATGTTGGAATAAAAGAGACAACCGACTACTCGTTATTGTTTTGATTTATAGTGAGGACTTGCTTTGTGACCACTTACGAGCGAGGCAAGGCGATGGCTGATGGAATCAGACCGCCCCAGCCACCTTTCGCGGATTACAGACTCGGCGGTTATTCCGTCCTGAGGATTCCAGGAGAGGTGAGGGAAGCGACATATGAAGTCGTATTCGAGAGGGATAATGAACAGTCCTCCCTGGCTAACCTCATTCTTGAATCTATACTCAAGGTAAATCAATATTAAGTTTCAGTTCATAATATGTAAATTTATTTAGATATAGATACTTTTAGTTAATTCAAAACGTACACCTTTGTGAACCTAGAAAAAAGATCTTATTTTATTTTTTTAACCAACTAGCAGGATGTGTAGCAACGTTGAAATCACTGAAAGTCAGAAAACCTGCTATAATTTTGGGGATCTGGAAAAAATAAAACAGGAATTTTACTTTTTTCTGGAAAATTGTCTATTTATTTTTAGTTATTTGGCAATAATAACTTCCAATTGGTAACAATTGAGTATATTTCTATTATCAACGTTACATGTTAACAAGTTAGTTGACGTTTCGGGTCAACCCAAAGGTCAATTTTTGCACTATTATTGGTCAAAAGCAGGATGTTGCTCTAGATGATACATTTTAAAACATGAATTAGAAATTTGACGATGGAGCACATTATTTTAAATTTGAAGGTAATTACAAATTTATTGTAACAACAAAATTCAGGGAATGCAGTTCCGAAAATGGGAATAAATATCCCGAAACGTCAACTAACTTGTTAACATGTAACGTTCATAATAGAAATATACTTAATTGTTACCAATTGGAAGTTATTATTGCCAAATAACTAAAAATGAATTATACTTGAAAAACAGAAAATCATAGAGAAGTTTTATTTTTAGTATGAAGCCTGTTTAAAAAAAAAAAATCTGGAATTATGCTTGAAAAATAGACAGTCTTAAGGGAATTTCTATTTTTAGTGTGAAGCTCGATTTACACATTTCAAAAACACTAGAAATGGATGAAACAAACAAACAAGAAATATGGGTTTTTACATACTTCTATATTTCCAGAGAAACAATTTAAATTTTCTCTTTAATTTTGATGGTATTTTTTTTAAACAATTGACGATCATTTGAAAAAATATGTGCTAACAATTAGGCTAATTGTAACCATTGGCCTAGTCAAGACATTGACACATATAGCCCTGGAGCCAGGGCCCAAAAATCGACCTGATCGCAGACGAAGGTTTGATTGTAAATTATGAAAGTGTATGTTATTCTGAGTAAAAAAAACCTTGTCTGCCGTTCCAGAGCCGCTGCATTAAAAAATGGCAGCTGATTTAAAATATATTAGGCCAATAATTTGAGGATCGAAACGGGAAATCCATTGCGAAAAATGTGATTACTAACGCGGGCCGCCAAGGGAAAACTTTTTACAGCCAAAAAAGTGAGATTTTTTCGATATTTTTTGGGTTTTTCACCTATAACTCCAAAACAATGCATCAAAACGAAAAAAGTTTTCTTTAACAAATTAAAGAACGTTAAATTTTGCGCCAAACGATTACAGAAACATTAAAATTTGGTTACGCCGTAAGGTATAAAACTACGGTCAACCCAAAGCTGAGTTTTACCAAATTTGCCAAAAACTGAGAAAAATTACTATAAATGGTCCTGTAACTTGGAAATGAGTTCCCTAAGTGGAAGAACCCATAGAATCAAAGTTGTAGAGCATCAAATTTTGCGTCAACTGAGTACCAACTAATTTAATGTAGGTCACTGGCTCCAAAAAAAAAGCGGCTCTGGAACGGCAGACAAGGTTTTTTTTACTCAGAATAACATACACTTTCGTAATTTACAATCAAACCTTCGCCTGCGATCAGGTCGTTTTTTGGGCCCTGGCTCCAGGGCTAATATACATGTAGAATACTTTTTATTTTCACCATATTTTTTTTTTTTTTCAGTGTGGCATCGACACTCGTAGAGCATTAGCAGAAAATCTTGTTATAGTTGGTGGCACCAGTATGGCTCCTGGGTTCAAGTCGCGGCTAATCTCTGAGCTCAGGCGACTCGTCAAGGATAACTTCTATAAACCAAAATTATATATTTCAAATTTCAAGATGCACGTTCCGTTAGTAAAAGAAAACGTAGCTTCATGGCTTGGAGGTATTTTGTTGATTTTATTTTACTACTTTAATGATAATTTTTTTTTATGGAATTCAATAATGATTATCATGATGATCGTTCAGTAGTTTGATAGTTCTAGTATCTGTATTTGAAGCTCTTTAGAATAATTAAAAATTATTAATAATCTATTGATGAATTTTATATATATATATTTTTTTTTTGTCTAAAGGTTCAATATTTGGAGCTACTGATATGCTTCCGCTTCGGGCTCTGACAAAAGAAAAATATTTCACTCTCAAGACCGTACCCGATTGGTGTAATTTAGCAACCAATGAACTCTATCTGTCAAAGCTAACTCTATCATAAGTCATCTGTGATCTTTTTCTAATTTTATAGTTTTTATTTATTGTAAAATTTATAATGTTAATATTATTTATGTTTATTTATTAAGGTAATAAATATCTTTATCTAATATTTTGTATACAATTGATTCTTGTTGTATTTATGAATAATATTTTTTATTTATTATTTAGATTTATTTTTCTCTTCAGAATAATAATAAATAAAACAAGTTGGTGATATGGAGGCTCTAAGTAAAATTACATGAAGAATATAAAATTACTTTTTATGTTCAAAAGATTTATCTCCAATTTTGCTTGAAAAAAAAAAAAGGTATAAGCATTACATATTGAAGATAGAGCCAACATTGTAAAATAACAGCTAATAAAATATTTTTAAATATGTACTTTCTTTTTTATTTTTCTATAAAATTATTTTATTTACATTTATCTCATCTGTTTATTGCTAAAAGTCATTAAATACATTTTTGATACTGGTTAACTTCCAGGTATATTTTTGTGAATTTCGACTTTATTTAATGATACAGAAACATTGTAAGTGCATGAAAATGACTGGGTTAGCTGACGTTTCGACCCAAAGATTTGAGTAATCTTCAGGGCTATCATTCAGAAGTCAAACAAGAACTGACTTTTTATTGCGTTAACTGACATTTAGACCAAAATATGTGAGCCATCCTCAGAGCTATCGTTCAGAAGTCGAGACAAGAACTCACTCATTCCTGACAATTTTATTTCGTCCTAATAAACATTTTTATTGATCCGAAATTAAATTAATCATAAAATAATATGAAATTCTTATGTTCTATAATTACATTGATCGGTATTATTGGATAATGTCACAATAAAGAATATTGGTAATAAAAAGCAAAAGTTATTTCACGTCTTATTTCAAGAAAATATAAATAAAATAAAAGGAAAATAATTAAATGTAAAAAAAAATATTTAAAAAAAAGTTAAATAAAGTAAAATAACTATTGATATTAAGAATTTCACATTATTTCTTTTATATTCATATTATTTTATATTACGATTCCTTGACGTTTAGAGCAATAAAAAAAATTTGTTTTCCACACCTTTTGTCTATAGGTATAATTTAACAAAATAAACACTCGTAATCTGTTGTTTTTTCATTATCAGTTTATTGCACTTTATTCTAATTTTTATTTTTAAAATTTATCTATATTGATCATAGATAATATAAATTTCGATATTTGCTTTTCAGTTAAAGATTTCTTATATAGCTAATGGAGTTCTATATACCAATTTTAGTATAAATTCGAATTTTTCATGTATTTAATTTGAGTGAAATCACTTCCATCTATCTATCTATCAGATGGCATTACAACCCTGTGATGGGTTCTGGCTTCCAGTTTTGTACTGCTGCCTTCCAATTTCGGACTCTAAGCAAGTCTCGTACCATGCCATCCATCCGTCGGAGCTTGGGCTGTCCGACTCTACTTGGACAATGAATTGCCTGAAATTACTTCCATACTTCTCAAAACTCAATGAATCACATCCCCGTATTTAGATTTTATCGGCATTTTTGCTGAAATACATTTGATTTAAGAATAATGTGCAGCGGAGACTCAGTTTTGTTTGTAGCCAGTTTTTCCCCCATCTCATGATTACTTCTGGTTAACTTTCCATAATTTACTTAGGTAAATAGATTATGGGTTAACTAAGTAAGTTAAGGAGCACCATTTTATATGGTTCATTAAGGATCATCAATTATAATTTTAATTGTTTAAAGTTATAATTAGCTTATGAATAAAACTTGTGAATAAACTTACTTTATTAATCCTTAAGTTTAATCCAATGTTGAGTTTTGTTTATTATTAAGTTAATAATGAAAGAAATTAAATTGATGGTAGTTTAAAAAAAAAGAAAAAAAAACCCATTAAGGAATAGAACAATGTCTTCGAAATTATTTTATATTTACAATTATGTTTTTGTAGTTAAATTACAATATGTTTATTGACGTGTGCCGAAAACCTGTTCCCTGTATTTTGATATGGTTTTCAAATAATCCGCTACAAGGCTCCTGCATTTGAGTGGGGTTATCATATTTTCTTGAAAACATTGTAACTAAAAAAAATATTTTATCTGTTTGAAAAGTGTTAATTGAGGTGCTTAAAACTGAAATAATCATTTATCTTATTTTAAAAAATAAATCAATTTTCAGATACTATAATTGTGCATAAAACATTTCACAGTTAAGTGAATCCAAATCTATTGATTAATTTTTAGTTTAATTTATTTTATTTTAAGATTTTTTTAAATACCAGAATTCATTTTATATTATAACCATAATTTAATAAATGGCTGCCAAGTATGGGCAATATAGCTTCCTCACTATTGAATACATTGATATTTTTAATACATTTACATTAAAGCCAATTTGAAACAAGACTTAGATTACACTCAATGAAATATGGGATTAAAATTTACTATTTATGGAAATAATTAAATAATTTCTAGCTTAATAAATAAACCAATCGTTAATAAATTACTTACTAAAGGCTTATTTTCGATGTCAAATTCACCTGTACAAGCTTTTATGTCTTTCAAACCCATTTCCAGAGCATAAATTGATCTTTCATCAATTCCCACCTTTTCAGCATGGAGCTTATCTATACAATTTTCTTTTAATCTCCATTCTTGCTCTTGAAGTTCGAACACACTCGATTTTTTTGCTGGGGATGTTTTTTCTCCATTTCCACTAATGAGCCTCTTGATTGCTTCTTCACTTATTAAAAATGCTGCCCTTCCTAAAGGTTGTGAAAAAATAAAAATCTAACTATCCATAATATAATGATGTAGAGATGGTTGACCGTGATATAATATGAGAAGGAGTTGATCGGGGGGTGCGTTTAAATAAATACTAAATTATAGAAATAGTATTATTTAATTATTATGCCGACGTTTCGACCCACTTTGCAAGTCTTCATCAGGGCTACAAAATATAAAAGGTACATGGTGAAAATAAAATAGATGAATTATAAGTAGATATTAAATAAGAAGAATTTGTCTGATAAAGAAATAATATGATATCAGAGATATGGTGGGTGACAATGTAGTTAAAATATAATTTATTAAAACTTGGTATTTTAGCAATAATGACTCATACTTGATATTTTAACTACATTGTCACCCACTATATCTCTGATATCATCTTATTATTTCTTTATCAGACAATTTCTTCTTATTTAATATCTACTTATAATTCATTTATTTTATTTTACAACTGTATTAGATAGAAAATACAACTAGTAAATTTGAACTTGGTAATATGTCATGTACATGAATAGAAGAAGTTCTGTTGTTGGTGGAGCCACAAAAATCAATTCGGCAGGTCCAAATAGGTCTTATTATAGTCATATATATGAATCTTTTGTAATTAATTGAAATTTTAGAGTGTTTGTCTGGTAACAGTAGTCCGAAACGTGCAGCAGATTTTTGTTTCAGTCTGGTATGAGGATTCCAAGTGAGATGTTTGTGGACAATGGAACCTGGAGGTGGAAGTTCTAGGAATCAGCTTTGTTCAACAGGAATATCTGGGGACTTCATGGGAATAATATACCATATCTAATTTTATTAAATTCTTATATTGAATGTCATAAATTGAATATGAATATTTACTGAAGATATTTTACCACATTTTATGGCTTTATATTGTGTGTTGTCCCGAAAATTGCAGAATTTTATGTTTTCTTTATATTAACCTTCTATATAACAGATTGTAATTTGAGCTATTATTCTTTTGTATAGGGGTCATCACTTCTTAATCCTCTCCTAAACAAATGTTTTTACTCTTCCTTAGTATTTCAGTAGTTGAAAATAATTCAATCTTTACTAAGATGTCAAGGCGTGATTTTCGCATAATTTAAATTTATGAGTTTAAACTCCGTTGGAGAAACATTAATAAAGTGGGACAATGGCAGTGAGTGTACTATTCAATAAATGTTTGAACAGATTTTCAAGAGAAGAATTTCAACTTTGAAGACAAAGATGGTTCTGGAATGACTTCTTTCATTGAAGTCGCTGTTGCGAGCTTTGGTCAAAGAAATTCCCAGAACATCTGTTCGAGAACCTGGAGTCAGAAAATCGACTACTGCTAATCACCTGAAGGGTATTGGAAACATAAAAAATCTTGAAATTTGGGTTCCTCATGCACTAAAAGACCATAAAAAAAAAAAATCTTATAAAGTTTGTGCTGTACTTTATTGCCAAAACAGAAATAAACTTCACCCATCTTACTCTCTCGCCTGCCCACTACATTTTTTAAGCAATTTGGACCACTTTTAAGAGGTTAAGTATTGATCAAAATTTGTTAGAAAATACATTTTTATAACTTGTGTAATTGTATTCACAGGCTAAATGTTGTCTACAGGTAAGAAGGAATGTAGTCAGAGTAATGTAGTGAATTTTGATTAATAAAACTAGTTTCGTAGTATTTATTTTATTTAAAATCATAAACCTGCATAAATTTCCGAACAATATAATTTTTCAAAACTTAAACAATACTTTCATTTTATTAATATAATATAAAGTGTGAATTATTTTGGTAGTTGGGCAACACTGCTGATATTAAAACGTTAAAACAGTGGTATAACCTCACCCCTGTAAATAACTTGGTCATTCGCATTACTAGTCATTGTCGGTTTTGTGACAAAAGTGGTGTTTGTATTGTGCCTTATTGAAAGTATAACTTCTAGATATGTTTCTCACACGTTCAGAGTACGACAGGGGGGTCAATACTTTCTCACCTGAGGGTAGATTGTTTCAAGTGGAGTATGCCATAGAAGCTATTAAGTTAGGTTCCACTGCAATAGGTGTTTGCACTCCAGAAGGAGTTGTAATGGGAGCTGAAAAGAGAATTAAGTCCACATTAATGGAGCCAGAGGCTGTAGAGAAGATTCTGCAAGTTGATGATCATATTGGTTGTGCAGTAAGTGGTTTGATGGCTGATTCTAGAACCTTAGTGGAGCATGCTAGAGTACAGTGCCTTAATCATTGGTTTGTTTATGATGAAAAGATGCCTATAGAGTCGGCTGCCCAGGCAGTTTCAAATTTGGCTATCAGATTCGGTGATGCTGATGAAGATGCTGGCCCAGCGATGAGTAGGCCTTTTGGAGTAGCTGTCATGTTTGGTGGATTTGATTATAGAGGACCTCAACTCTATCATATGGACCCTTCAGGTACATTCATTTATTTTGATGCTAAAGCCATAGGTTCTGGAAGCGAAGGAGCACAACAAAGACTTCAAGAGTTGTATCATAAGGGAATGAGCCTCAAAGAAGCTACACATATGATTTTGACTATTTTGAAAGAAGTTATGGAAGAAAAATTGACCGATAACAACGTAGAAATAGCGGTAGTAACTGCA